AAATAAATTATTTATAATTGTCCACATTTCTGTCCATAGTTTTGTTAATAATGGGGTTCATAACAAGGATAGGTCGGGTTGAGAAAAGGCAGAGTTTCGGGTCGGATCGGGTCAGTTCGCTTAATTTCTTTCCTCTTTAATTATCTAAATCCACTTATATCCTTGCTTCATGTATTGAAAAAATATCAGGGATTTTGGGTGAATGGCTTTATGAGGGCTATTGTTAGACAGGAATATACATTATAGAATTAAGAGTTTTAGAAACATTCATAAATATTCCAAAATAACTAAAAATTAAATTGGAAAATTTTTTATAGATCATTTTTATAATTAATTTTATAAAATTATTTTATATTAGAAAAAAATAAAATTACTTTTTTCTAATATTCTTAATTAATTATATTTCTATATATCAGGCTTGGGAGAATATTAAAATCCAGCTTGACGACGAAATTGTATTTTGTTTATTAGAAAAACAAAAAAGTTTTATGCTTGGAAACATTCGAACAAATTCTGATATTTTTGTTGGTGGAATACCAAAAGTAAATTAATTATTTTAAAACTTATTAAGGAAAGGGATTCCTTTGAGTAGGATATTTGGTATTTCCTTGATGTCTTTCTTAATCCCTCGAATCGCCTGATATCCCAGATTTAGGGATAAGAACGATATTTTGGGATTTTGGATTTTGTGGTCGAGGATTAGAAAAATTAAAATAATTTTAAATTTTAATTAAAAAGCATTATATTCTAAAAATACACAAAAGAAAGATTCTTTACTCCAAAAAAACAGAATTTTAGTTTTGTTATTTTTCCAATTTCAAAATATATTCTGTCATTTTTGGGGCTATATTAACATACTTAAGCCACTAGGCTTAAGTACTACATACTTAAGCCATTTTCATATAAAAATAAATACCAAAAAAATTCCGTGAATGCTTTAATTAAAGCCGGCTCTATTAGAAACCTATATTCAATACAAGCCCATGGAGGCTTATCCAAATTTAAACGCTAGTCCCTAATAGGAGTCATACTTAATATGAATTCAGTTAAGGTGGCCTATTGGGAAAATCTAGTCCACTGATTTAATTAGAGCATTTTATTAATTTAGAAGTATGTATTAGATGGCAAATTAATAAAAAAATAAAATTATTTTTAAAAATTTCTCAAAAATTTAAAAGGATGTCGAAAAACTCAGCGCTCCTTTAAGAAGATATTCTAAAAGATTTGCTGGTTTAATTCGTAATTTAATGTATAGAATATATCCACAAGGAATGGCTGCACCTTTAATGATTGACTCTTTTGGTACTCGAAAAACTGATGATAATTATTGTTCGAAGTAATTGTAATTAAATTATTTAATTTTTGATTGTGAAAATAAGGAGTATTATTAAATATTAGTGTTAGGCAAACGCGATTTTTCGGTATCGGTATCCGTATTTTCGGTAAAATACAATACCGCAAATACCGCGGTATTTTTGATTGAGTCGGTATCGGTATCGGTATTTCGGTAAAATACCGATACCGAAAAATACCGACGAAAAATTGTCGGTATTACCGCGGTATTTCGGTATTTTTTAAAAGTTTACCAAATGAGCGAATTTAATATAATAAATGTAAAATAAATTTATAAATAGTGAATAAATAGTGAATTTAGTATTTAGTAATACCGTAATATTGTAATACCGTAATACCGTATTTAGTAATACCGTACCGTGACCAACTCTATTAAATATTATTAATTTGTGTTGGAAATCAAACATTCACCGACAAATTTCGATAAGGATTGATATAGACAAGACCCCATTCTCCGAAAGGAACTTAGGCAGTGTTCGGAAATGTAGTATCTTTAAGCAACCGAAAGCCGGCTTGATATTCGCCTGTACCATCGAAAACGTCTAGTAAGATTTTGAAATTTTCGATACAAGTTCGGTGCCAGTAGTTTTTTGATGCTACTGGTATCGCACATTTTTGTGCCAAACACTAATAATATTTTATTTTACCCCAACCTCAAAAAATTATTAAACATATTATTTATTTACTAATAAAAATTATAATAAAATATAATTTCATTTTTAAACTAATTTTTCTTTAGAGAACACAATTCAAAAGTTACTAAATCAAAAGATGAAAATAACTTTTGTTTAAATTCTGGATTGTGTTATAGTGCAAACAATGGTCCTCGTTGTGATTGTTTTTATTCAGATTATGAAGGAAGAAGATGTGAAAATAGTGAGAGAATTTAATAAAGTTATAATTCATCTTAACTGCTCTAATTAATCCCAACTAATCCATATATGGTATAAGCCAAAGGTTAAGACGATTGACTAATTAATGAAAAACAATACTAATATTACCGAAAATTCCCAATTTCTCTGAATATGTTCTGGAATTGTTGAATGGATTCCAGATGATATTTTAATTGAAAATTTCAAAGATCAGTAATTTTTAAGTCTCGATTTTGGTACGATTTTCGAGAATTTCTAAGGATACGTTGTATGTATACTACGAGCTAACCCGGGAGATCACCAAACAATAAACGTTCAATCTCAAGCCAATATAATATAAGTCTAATTAAAATTTTCTATTAAAAAATAGTAGCCCAGGTTTTATTAAAGCATTTATTTTATGAAATAATATTTATAGAAAAGCCAAGGAATTAATGATGAAATAATATTTATAGAAAAGCCAATGGAATTAATGATGAAGACCTTTTGGCTGTTTTAAGTCATAGAGAAATTTATAATATCTCTTTTAGAACTAATTTTTCTAAAAATTCGCTTCTTTTTGTGGCTGGGGATTCTAAGGTATTTTTAAATATTTATGGGAGGAGGGATTAAATGGTAAATAAAAAATGGGATATTAACATAGCCCCATTCTCTGAATCGAACTACCTCTTTCTACAAGATCCCGATAAAACTCTTGTAGAAAAGGAGTTTTATCGGGATGGTTACAGAAAATACGTTAGTTAGACATAATATTTTTGTGAAAAATGTTAGTCTATCTTCGGGTAAGATTTCTTGCCCGAGACTTCCTCTGTCGATTTTCTGGCAAAAAGACCGAAATCCCCATGCTGGGTCGAGATTCTCAATTTAGGTGGGAGTGGCTAGGAAACCATGGAGATACTGTTTTATTTATTATTTTGAAAAGTTTTAGAAAGTAAAAATATTTTTAAAAATAATAAAAATAATTTGAACATTAATATTACTAAATTAAGAGTAATTTTAAATTAACAATTGAAAATGGAGAACTTCTAGCAACACATCAATTAGCAGAAACTGACAAGCGCCTTATTCGTGTACAAGATCGTAACAATAGACTGCCTTTACATTTTGATAATAATTTATGGCATAGTGTTTGTGTCGTGAGAGAACTGAATTCTGTAGGTTTTAATTTTGGGATTTGTATAGAAATGAGAATTGTTAAAAAGATTTCGCTGATCATTATAGGACAAAGAGTCCGATCCTTAGTCTTCTTAATGATATTATTCCAGTCCTTCATAATTGAAGTGAATATATTTAATTATTTCCTATAAAGATATCTCCTCATAGGCCAGCGAGAACAATTAATTAATTTTCTATTGGTGGATATAGGAAATCGTCGGGTATCAGTTCAGGAACCAATAGGGATTCGAAAATTTTCTATCCTTCAACCTTAGATATTAGAGTTTAACAACCGGCGTTTCCTTAACTACCAATATTTTCAAATTTCTAAATCTTAAATTCTAGCCTGGATTTAAAGGTGCTGTCATTTCGGTAGGTCTGCCGACAATTCACGAAAAAATATTTTTCTGTTTCCGTTTTTGTATTGCAGTATTAAAAATCAAAAAAATTCTGTTTAGGAGCACTTTTGTCTTTTAAAATCTTTTTCTTAACTTTATAAAAACTTTTATTTGCTGTGGCCATTCTAGGCATTAATTTTTCTTAAAATATTTTTTCTTTCATTTTCTTTGATAAGTATTTAATTTAAAATTATTTTTTAAAGATTCGGCTAATTGTTGATGACATTTTTGATCAGAAAGTTTTACAATTCACTCCACGATTAAAATGGCTAGGAAATTCTTTCTTTTTTGTTGGAGGAGTGCCTCAAACCTTAAGACATTTAATGCCACCTGAACATTTATTGCCTTTTCGTGGATGCCTAAGAAAGGTGTTTTTATAAAGATCTAGTGCTAGATAAAGACATAATGTCGGTCTCATACATTTAATTTGACTACAATTTTATAATCCCCAATGTTGGATCGAGGTTCTCTTGAATAATTATGTCATAGAATGTAACCTAGCCCATTCGCTAACAGAATAACACAAGAATAGAATAATATCTTTATCACAAGAGCAAATACAAGAATAACAATAATAGAATTAGGTGTTAATGCTCAAGTATAGGAAGCGATTGTAATTCAGATCTTGATCAAGACAGATCGCTGACTGTTTTTATACAAGTCCCACATACTGTATGAAATTATTTTTAATTCTCCAAATTATCATTAAAAGTAACTTGATATTTAACCAAGCTTTCAGATATTTTTTCAATCGGGTCCTGTTGAACTAAATTTAATTCATTTGGCAGATCAAGGATTTGGACAATCTAATGGTGTGTTTTTGACTAAAAATCACATTAAGTTGTAAAAATTTCATTAAAAATATATAATAAAATTTAATCATAAAAAATATTTTAAAGTCCAAACTTTTGGTGACCTTACATTTTTTTGTATGCCAAGTGCTCAAAATGCTCCTTTAATTTTTTCTTTTAATAATGGAAATAATTATACTAAATTACCTCCCTGGCGTTCTCCATCACGTGGAACTTTAGGTTTGTTTTTTGGAGAAATTTTGATTTTAAAAATTCAAAATACAAAGTCAAACGTATCTGATATAAGATTTTTTAATTGCTTTTTAATTGCCCTTTTATTATTTTATAAATAGAGATCAATGTCTGTCGTGAATTGTGCAAGGTTCACGAAAAATCTCTATTACGATGAAAGAGCTTTTAGAAAGAGAGAAGAGGGAGAGAGATAATAGTGAATGAGATTACCATATTTCAGAGAGAGAAAGTGAGTGATAGAGAGAGATACCGAGATTTGAGAGGAGATTCAAAACTAATTCTTAAGCCAATACATTATCTACTGTTGTAAATAATAATTTCTTTAAGCCTTCCAATTCCGAACATTAACCCCAGATGGATTACTTTTATATCATGGAATGGCACAATGCAGGAATTTTACAATTTGTGATTATTTGGCTTTTGAATTAATTGATGGGCATTTATTTGTAAAATAAAATTTAAATTAAATAAATCAAGGCAGTTTTAAGATGATAGTAAATCTTGGTTCTGGTGATATTCGACTTCAAGTAATAAAGTTGAAAAGAAAATTTAATTAAAATTTGAAATTCTTATAATTTTTAAGGCCTCTGCTAAATCCCTGAACGATGGATTATGGCATAGCGTTGTTATGGAAAGAGGTGGACGTAAAGGTAGATTGGATTTTTTAAAGAAACTTTTGATAATTTTTGTATTAAAATTTTCAAAGGTTTCATCTCAGTTGATTCACTCAGAACTGAATTTTCCTGCCCCGGCATTTCAGCAAATTTAGATATTGGTAGAATATGTATTAACTTTGTCATAATTTTATTTAAAATTATATAGAAGAACCAATATTCCTCGGAGCTGTCCCTTGGCCTGACCTATTTTCTTTTGATCAAGAAAATGAAAATGAGCATCAAGTTGAAGCTGTAACAGTTATTGAAATGGATGAACCTGCTGAAATAAAAAGAAATTTTCCTTCATCTGTAATTTATTTTTTATTTTCTTATAAGATGACGCCGGTACTGGCTATGGTTAAAGGAGCTAGTCCGGATCCGGAATCTGTCGTAGCTGTCTTTGAAATGTTCGAAGCCAGAGTCAAGTTTAAAAATTTTCGGGGTCCACAAAAAGCTCAAAATCTCTGGCCGGCTCCATTAATTAGTGCGTTCCAGAAGAGATAAATCGGTGTATCATACTGTGACTTTAACTCTGACCCGAGCTTTAATAAAGTGAATTTAAAGCTTTATTTTCATAATTTTTTAAAGGTTTGGACAATAAATCTTCGTCAAGGCTTTCTTGGGTGTATGAAAAATATTCGTTTAAATGGCATAAATATTGAAATTGCACATATGTTTCATTCAACAAAATTATTGCCAACGGAAGGACCAACAGAAAGGAGTCTTTTATCAAAAATAAATAAATGTAATTATTTAAATATTTATTCCCCACAAATAAAATACCGAATTTCCTTGAATAAATACCCTGCGTAATTATTGCTGAACCTAACGCTAGGGTGCATAATTAATCGAGTGAGATCGAACGCTAACTTGGGATCGCGTAATTTCAGATTGTACGCCAAATATTCCGCGGGATCAATTTTGTAAATCCCGGAATCCCTGGACTTGTTGCATAAAATCCCGTACGGTAATTTTCCATAATTCCGTATGATAAGATCCCGAAATCACGTATAATCACGTAATTAATCGAATAAATATGATAAGCTTGAAAGAGTGTGGGATTTTGAGAAAACATCCTAGATTAATCTGCTTGATTTCATTATATAAAACTTTGTTTTAACATTATTTTTAAGCTATCTCACTTGGCTGCCCCTTCTCCTTTTCCGTTGATTTTTGTAAAAAACCGGGCAGCAAGAATCCATGTAAAAATGGGGGTATTTGTTCATCATATCACAATTCATTTCACTGCGATTGTTCTGACACGCCTTTTGATGGAATTAGCTGCCAACAAAGTTTTGAAGAAATTTTGAAAATATTTTAAAATAATTTTTAGAGCCTCGCCCTTTGCCTTTCCCTCTTCCAGAATCTCTCTCAGCCAAATTTCATTTTTCTGATTCTTGGCAGTTGGAAGCAGAAACTTTGGAAATTAAATTTCGTCCAAAGCTGGGAATAAATTTAAATGAACTAAATAAACAGAAAAAACTTTTTGTTTTAATTGATACAAAATCGGATATTATTAATGAAAAGGATGAAGATAAACAACGTTTGTTGGTAGCAATTACTGGGAGTGGAGGATTAATTGTGCATTGGGTATTTCGAGGAAATGAGCAAAGTGTTGGTTGATTTTATTAAAAAATAACATAATAATACAAATGTTATAAGCTGATCGAGAATGGATCTGGTATCTGGAGAAAGAGTCACGATCACGCTGATCCTGGGTATTGGTTCCTCCTTTCCATTCGTGGTTTTATATCCGGCCGGGATCCAGAGCCAGCTCCGAAGCTAGTTACTGTAGCCATCCACAGCATGGATGGGACGGTTGAAAAAAAGGTCGAGTCGGGGTTTCAAAATTTTCTTTGGATCGGGTTTCGGGGCGAAAAAGGTCAGCTTTTCGAGTAACAGTTTTCGAGTTATCCGTCCATCCCTGATCCACAGTACTGTTTATGCTAAAATTGGTGGAGGGTGCTGTTTTAACTCACAAATTTTGGATGATCTCAATTTAATTAACTTATTAAATTATAGACTTTTAATCTGAGCTCTGCAAACATTACAAATAATGTACATTGGCATTCGCTCAAGCTAATAAGGAGGGGGCAACGATTGGCGTTAAAATTGGATGGAAAATGGCATAATCGTATGTGTTTTTATTTAAAAAATGAATTTTCTAACTAGCGTATATGCTCTAATATAAGACCAGGGCTTCTATCTATCATTAGGTCACATTAGTAGTGCTTATATTATAAAAGGCTTCTATTAGAAACTTAACTTATAGTTTTAGATGGAGTCGTCGGGAGGTCTTGTATTAGAGATGGGCTTCTAATAGAGCGGGGCGTATGTTAGAGCATTTACAGACTGATGCTGGGTTTGAGAATTTTAATTAATTTTTGACAGAATCACTAAATAATATTGGAAACAAACCTTTAATTCTCTCTATCAATGAAATAGCTATTGCCCAACCTATTGGAACTGCTAAAATAGCAAGTAAATTTTTAAATATTTTTTGTAGAAAAATATTTTTCATTAAAATAATTTCTTTTTATTTTAGATAATTTAGAGCATTTGTTTCGTTTCCACGGCGATTTAAGGATTCTTTCATTGAATGGGCATGATTTATTAAGGCCTATACGTGTTATGAAAAGACAAAAAGGTGAATTTAAATAATATATTAATTAGAATTATTTTTGAAAAATATTAAAACAAAATTCATTCTTTTTTTAATTTTTTTTCAAAATTATTTCGGTTCTATCGAATTATCTCTCTATCATTTTCTGTATTCTTTTATGAATAATAATGCGCATAATGATAAGTTATCAAATTAATAGGATGAAATACTTTCAAAAATAATGATAACAATAAGTCAAATCACATTTAGGGATCTAAATTTGGGTGTTTCTGTTTATGATATTTGATACGGGATTACTTCCTCCAACCTTCTCTTATAAAATCCAGAATATTTGTAATGGTGTACGGAATTTTGGTCACCAGAATTTTGGTCACCACGATTTTTCGGAACTTTGGTCACCAATTTTTTTGGAATTTTGGTCACCAGCGGAATTTTGGTCACCAAGTCAAAAAACGGAATATTGGGCACTGAAATTTTGGTCACCAAGAGGAATTTTGGTCACCAAACGGAAAAAAATAATCTTATTTAAAACTGATATCAAAGTGATAAAAAATGATTTTTCAACTCCTATTTGATCAATTTCAATTTTTGTCACTTTTCCGGCTGATCACTCGCTAGTTTGATCACTCTCGATCACTCTCCCGGATGATTGATTAATTGTGAGAGTGATCAACATTGAAATTGATCAAATAGGGGTTGAAAAATCATTTTTTATCACTTTGATATCAGTTTTAAATAAGATTATATTTTCCGTTTGGTGACCAAAATTCCTCTTAGTGACCAAAATTTCAGTGTCCATTATTCCGTTTTTTGATTTGGTGACCAAAATTCCGCTGGTGACCAAAATTCCAAAAAAATTGGTGACCAAAGTTCCGAAAAAGCGTGGTGACCAGAATTCCGGTGACCAAAATTCCGGCACCCATTTGTAATTTTTCAAAAGAAAGAAATAAAAAAAGTTAAAAAATTTGGGAGATAATCGGATATTATTATTTTCTAGGAAAATTTTGTTAGAAATTTTACAAAAACATTTTAAAAATATTTTGTAAATTACTCGATTATTTATCATTCTATCCCTAAATCTTTTTTATAGGCTTTTGGAAATTATCCATAAATCTGCTTTTATTTTGCAAGTTTTACATGCATGTCTTTCCCAGTCTATTCAAATTTATTAACTTTTTTAAACATTTATCAACTTCAGTCTTATATTTTTAATTTTAATTTCAAAAAATTAATTGTTCTATTTATAAAAACTTTTTTCATTTTTCTGCAACATTTTCTCGTTTAAATTTGACTCTCTTTTCTCACATTTTCCATGCCTTATTTAACTTGAAACTATTTCAATTTTAACATTTTCCTTTTGACACAAATTGGATTAGTAAAAAAGGAAAATTCTTTTGGCACTTTTTTTATTTTTATTTTTTTACTCCGCGCACATTTTCTTTCCTTTTTTATTTTTTAAGAGAGGAAATAGGAAATTACTTTGTATATTCCAATAACCACCATTTTCCTTCCTAACAACTCTTATTATTAAATACATAAGCTGCTAAATTAAATTTGTAGAAAAATGTTGGAAGAAAATTTTATGCATAATTTTAAATATTTTTATAAAATGAGGAAATTGGCGAAACAAAATTTAAGGAAATAATTTTTGGGAATTTATGGACGTAAAAATAAAAATCTGGCTTTTTTGATTTAATAAAAGTTTCAAAATTTTTAAACTTTCAAAAGGAATACTAATACATATTCTGCATTATGGAGCGGTAAGAATAACTTTGGTTTTGGATCATGACTAGGCGAAATTTCGTCCGTTTCGCTCTTTTCCTATCTTTTTCCATTTCGTTTCGGAACGGAATAAAAAATTTATTTCGCATGGCCCTGCTCCGGATCTGTTGCTGGATCCGATATCAAGAACATCAACTAAAGATCGAGATTTTTGAAAAGCCTGGGCCTGTTCCTGGGTTCTAAGTTCGATTTATTGAGCTAGGCCGGATCCTGGGCATGTAGTGCAGGAAAAACCCAACCATTGGTCCAGGCCCAGCTCGATCTCTTTTATCAAATCACTGACATTTTTCAAAACACAATTTTTTTATTTTTTATTTTCATTAAAAAATATTTTTAGGTCCCTTCCAAAATTATTTTTACTTTTCATTTTTATTTTTAAGACAGCAATTGACACATTCTCTTTACCAATATTTTCATTCTCTTCAAATTTCGTCATTTTTATTTAAAAGCTTTGCCTTTTAAACACTTCTAGACACTAAAATTTTTGTTTTGGCACCTCAATTACTTTTTTCTTTAAATTTGGAAAATATTTTCTTTCAAGTATTCTTTTTGAATGACGATTACATATGTAGCTTTCCACAAAAAATTTTTTTCGCTAAACTTTGTGCTTTAAATAAATTTTGTGTTTGGAAAGAAAATTGCAAGGTTTTGGAGAAAATATTTTTGGATAAAACCTAAAAAAATAATTTTAATCTGCCCAAGAAGGATGGTTCATGTTACCATAAAAGACTATACTCGAGCAGAGCTGTTTCGAAGCAGAAATATCTTCGAAAATCAGTACTCAAAATTCTGAAACCAGACCTAAAAAATTTTAATTCGAACTCCAAGTAAAAGAAAATCTTAAAAGCTCATCACTATACCGACCCAACTTTTTTTTATCCGACACTTTTCTAATATCCCCACGAACTCTTAATTTTAAATTTAAGATTTTTATCTTCTACATCTATAAAATTTTTAAGCTAAAAAATTATTTTTATATGTAATTTATGATTTCGTTCATATATGACAGATTTTTAATTTTTTGCCCAAAAATTTTAACTGCCTTTTTAATATTTACTTTCAATTTTAAGCATTTAATACCCTCGAAAATATTTTTGCCATAATTATACGAATATTTTTGCCAGAAATAACCATTTAATATTTTACTTTTATTGTTTAAAATATAAAATCCTTTTCCACTTTCATTTCTTATCTCAAAGCTCCCATCATTTGTCAAAAACGTAAAAATGCCAAAATATATATTTCTTATATCTGTTACCGAGTTATTGAAATGGCAATGTAAAGGGGCAGAAAAGGGGAAGGGAAAATACTTTTTTGCTTTTCCTCAAAAAAATATTTTTTTCCTACTTTTCTTTGAGTTTCTCCCAAGCTAGTATCAGTGCTTACTCATCTTCCAACAATCCTTTATTTAAAATATTATGGCCCATTATGGCACCGGGAAATTTTATTTACATGAAAATATTTTTTTGAATTTTATTCAGGAATTTAACTTAAATTCGTTGAAATTTAAGCAATATTCTAGGAGGTATATTGGATAATTCTGAAAATTTTTTATTCAATTTCCTTATGAACTTGAGAAAATTTGGATTTTTCGAGGCTGAATAGTTTTTAGAAAAATACTCTGATTATGTTGTGACAAGAAGGGCAGAGATTGAACCGTTCTTACTAGGATTCATAGAGAATTTTCGAATATTCGAAACTGAAGATAAGAACCGAACCAGAAGAATCATTGGTTTTGCGGTTTGGTTCCGAATTAACACTATAGTGATTACTAGAGATCGGAACGGGATCGGGACCCGGTCCCGTTTCCCGGTTTCCCGGTCCTTTTTCCCGGCTTTTTTGAAGATGCCGGGATGAAACCGGGATCGGGAATTCCCGGTTTTCCCGGTCCGGGTCCCGGCCGGTTAATTTTCATTTCCCGTTTCCCGATCCCAGCTTTTTTTGGACCGGGAAACCGGGAAAAATTCTAGCAGCTAATTTTAAATATTTTTGCTTGGCGTTTTGATTTTTGACTTAAAAATATTGGAGATTTTACAAAAATTCTCAAAATTTTCGCCTGCGGCGCTGAAAACGGAAGAAATTTGGCTGTTTGGCCTTCCAAAATTCTCAAAATTTTCGCGGAAGAATTTGGAAGAAAAATTTAGAGGTATTATTGAAGGGAAAGTTGAGGGATATTAGTGTATAGTGCGATTTTATCAAGGGACCTGGTGATTAAGCCATCTTTATCCCTCTAAATCCATTAGATCCGCCTTAATCATCTGATATCATTGCCTTCCAATTGAAGGGATTTGAATAGATATAAGGTGATATAGGTGGTTGGAGGTCTTTCTCCACAATCTCTCTTAATGCTACCCAACAAATACTTGAATCTCTCGATATCTCTTTTAATCCCTGATATCACTATTGTACAGAGAAGATCAGAGTGGATTTGGAAGGATTAAATTTAAATTAAATAAAAATTAAATCATCATCAAGGTGGATTAGGAGGGATTAAAGGGAATTAGATGAGGAATACATATAGGCGATATAAAAAATTTGAGGAGGCTATCTGGAGATCTTAAACTCCAAAATCTCCTAATATCCCACAATTATTCTCTAGCCTCTCAAATCCCTTTAGCCCTACGTAATCCGCTATATGTTTTAATTTATTGTAATTTACATTTCTTTTATTGATTTATTTTACTGATTTATTAAATTCTTCTATTTATAAATCAGATTTTTCAATAAATAACTACTCCCATAACTTTTTAAAATTTTTAAATGAATTTAAAATTTTTTTTAATTTCCCGGTTTCCCGGTCCGGGTCCCGGTCATTTTTGACCGGGATGAAACCGGGAACGGGAATTCCCGGTTTTCCCGGTCCGGGTCCCTCCCGGTCGACCTTCAGAACCCGTTTCCCGTTTCCCGGTCCCGGTTTTTTCAAAATTCCGATCTCTAGTGATTACCCTCTTTTTTTATCCAAAATTATAGCAGCCATTATATTTATGAAATCCATTAATTATGGTGCCGAACCCTTATATATTTAATAGTGCCGAACCCCTATATTTAATGCTTGAAAATTACCATTGAAACTCAATTTCCGATTATAAAATTTTTATCTAAATATCGGCAATTTTTGGTAATTTTTCTATAGTTCTCTAAAAATTTTTATCAAATATTAATATTTTGATCTGAACAAATAATTTTATATTTAAAACTTATTATTAAATTCCATTTGTTGTGTATTTAATTTAAAATGCATGTTTTAATTCTAAGCTAATAGCACATAGCATTTAGCTATTAATAATTTATATCTGAGTGTCTTTATGTTCCTATGGACTTTTATTGAATTTTTCTTAGATTTATTAAAATTAGAATAAATTTTAAAAATAAAAATTTTTTTAAGGATCTTCAGCATCCTCACAAATACAAGAATTAAATTTGAATTCTTCCGAACAAGTCGAAACTACAAATATTAGAATGGAAAATAAACATAGAAATTTATCAGCAGATCATGCTTTGAAAAATGGAGGAAGACATAAACAAACGACTACGGTAAATTGATTAATAAAAGAGTAATGAGTTAAGTTATTCCCCCCCCCCCCCATTTTGATATTTAAGATGTTTACAGGAATTTTTGAAAAAATTTTCCAGCATTTCTAATATGAAAATCAAAAATTTCTTTTGTCTTGTCTTATAATTTCTTAACTCATAATAATTCAATTTGTACTCAGTGTTCAGACACTGTTTATACAAGGCTTGTTCATGACCAAAGTCGTTTTTGTATCTTATTTCATTATAAATCCGGATCCTATTTATTACACAAATTAATGCCCATCCACAATTTAAAAATCAAATTAAATATAAATTCAATAAAATCCTTTATCAGTATAGGAAGATATGAGGAAGCAAAGTAGGGGGAGTATTATTTGGATGAAATTAAGAAAAATTAAACAATAGTTTTTTGTTTTTTTAAATCTCTTATTTCTAATATTTATTTTCCTTTATTTTAATTATTTTATTTTCAAAACTAAAATATAATTTGTTTAATTGTTCATCCATCCATTTAAAAAATTTTTTTTATTTTTCTGTTTACCTTTTAAAAAACTTTAGTTAACTAAAGCCATAAAATAGATATATAAAGTCACACATTTTGCTTTGTTATGTGACATCAACAAACACCAATTTGGATAAAATTGCTTCCATTTTTATATAAAAAACAGCAAAAAAGTACATCCAAATTATCCTTTCCATTCAATAGGAAAAATTTTTTAAAGGAAAAATGTCTATATTTATTAACTAAGCTTTATAATTTTGTCTATTTAATTAAGTTTTTTTATCCAAAGTTAGGAATATTACAATTCAATTTGCTTTACTTTTTTTAAATTTTAATAAAATTATTTAGTTCGGATTAGCGCTTAGTTATTATTAGAACCCGGCCACAGGGATCGTTCAAACATTTTTAATACCGAAAAATATCTTATCGAGCCGGGCATTAATTAGTTTTTATCAATGTTGCTTCTGTTATTTTTTATTCAAAAATAGGTTGTAATTTAAAATTAATTTCCTAAGTTTTGTAATTGCGATTATAAAACTTTAAAAATAAAAAACTATTGAAGAGTTTGTTTAGAGGTTTTGTTTTCAATGTGCCATTTTTCGAATGATTTCTGGATTTATTTGACTCTGAAATTAATTTTTTATTCGTTAAAATATTATATCCGCAATTGAGTCATTTAGTGTTGTCGGATCCGGGTATCCGAATACGAAAAAAGTCCGGATATCTTAAATTTTTAAATCCTGATATTAATTTAAAAATTTTTAGTCTTCCCAACAATTAAATAATCTTTCATCAAAATTCCAAAACGATTCTATTTCTTCTGTTTCTGCCTCATTTTTCTTCACAAAATCACCGCTTGGCTGCCTCAAACAAAACGCTCGAAATTGCATACCAGAACCTGCTTCTCAAGATAGTGAGTCTTTTTAATTAATACTCATATCAATAAGAAACAATTTAAATAATCACCCCCTCTCTTCCAAATAATTACCCCTCCCCTATTAATTAATACCTTCAGCCAGAGGTTGTGAAAATAATAATCACTCGGTAAATTAAAGTTAGCCTTTCTAAATAACCTCAAATAATTATTCCCCCCCCCCCTCTTCCATAATTGTTCCCTCCAGTAAATGTTTGAAGGAATACTTACCTAGGGTAATTATTTGATAAATACGGTAATTTAATATTTTTTAATTTTTTGATTAATTTTTATTTTTTAATGTACATCACTTTTATTTTTTACTTTTCATTTTTAATTATTTTTAATTTTTAAAATTTATTTTTTTATTTTTAATAGTGATAAATAAATACGTTTTTTGGATTTTTAAAAGAAATTTCCATTTCCTTAATTGTTTTTTTTTGTGTTCCGATTTTTTAATTTTAAATTTACTTTGCTTTATTTTATTTTTTTTCTCAGATATTTAGATAAATTAACTAAACTTTTTAAAGAGGGTCGGGCTTCAGATAGGTTTTATAACTTTTCTTCGAATTTTTAATCGAAAAATGGTCTAATTTTTGTCTCGGATCGGGTTAATTAGGGATTAAGAGCGGAAAAGTGGATTTTGGTACGGGTTCCACATTTGGGTCATTTTTGGTCATCAATTTTCATCACATTTGGTCCACATTCCACATCCACGTTTGGGGTCCTAATGGGGTCCACTCCATAAGGTCAAAACTTAAAAGTTCAAGATTCAAAAATTCAAAAATTAAAATCTTTTTATTATCTATATAAGAGAAACCAAAAATTTCTGTTCCTTTTTAATTATTCCCCTCAATTCCCCCAAGTCATAATAATCCCCTTTTTAGCTTTAATTATCTAACAACCATTATGTACTATATCTAGCCTTTGAATGGCAGCCATAATTTCGTTTGCCTCCTTTAATTTTTCTTTTTTTTTCAAGCCTTCCCTCCTTTTTTTCTTTATTCCACTTAAAATTGGTAATTGGTTTCCTTGAAATTTTGGAGATTTTTGTACCAATTTACTTCTATTGCGCGAAAAAATGTGTGCTTTGCTATTCCTCTTGGAATTTTATTTTTTAAAAATTACTTGAAAAAATAATTTCCGTTTTTAATATACATAATTTTAAAAAATTTTCTTTTAAATTTCTTCAATTTTAAAATTTGTTTAAATTTTGGAATATTTTGGTCAAAGTTAAATACTAAGAAAATAATTTCTATTTCAGTTCAAAAGCTCTTTTATTGGCCTACCAATCTTTTATTGGCCTACCAATTTTCAGAAATACTAGGATAAAAAATTATCTAGGGGAAGATACCGTAAATGCTCTGAAAATTACTCTGAGTATTAAAGTTTCTATCTTCCGCTGGAGGGAAGATCGGATCCTCCACACTAGTCGGATATTCATTCGATCTCATTCGTTTTTCGCTTACCACAGAGCTAAAATCAGAGCTATTTTAAGTCTTGATTTTCGAGATTTTTTATTTTTATTCTTGTTATTATTTATCCACTCAACGTTAACCTATATTTTTATATTTTTAAATCGTTTTCGGCACTTAAAACAACACATTGCTTACTCAAAAATAACTTTTTCTTTTATAAAAAATTTTTTTCAAAAGGATATCTCAATTCTACGGTCATTCATTTTATCCCATGGGAAGCCTAAAAAGTGTAAAAATATAAATAGTGTTGGAAGGTTGGCCAAAATCGCCTTTCAATCTTTCCTTTGTTTTTAAATGACCATTTCGGGTACTAAAAATAAAAAATATTAACTTTTAAGAAAGAAAGGTTGTTTTTGGGTGAATTTCCGCTTTAACATTTTCGCTTTTTTTCAAATTTTATTAAAAAAAATTTTTTTGGTCAGAATTTTTTTATTTAAAAGGAGTGTTTTTAATCTCTTGAGTCTATTATTTTCAAAAAAATATTTTCTAGATACCAGTGGCTGTTTAAATTTAAAAAATTTGTTTTAACCGAGTTACTATATATGCTCGCTAATTACCAGGGCTGGGCTTATTTCGCAATTTCGCGTTTCGCATCTTTCGCATTCTCGCATTTTTTAGCGCGAAAAGTTTCGCGTTTCGCATTTCGCTTTTTGGATCAAATGCGAAATTTGTTTCGCATTCTCATTTAGTATTTTTTTATTTTTTAAATATTTTGACGTTAAATTTTTTAAAGGAAAAGTGAAAGAAATATTTTAAATCTATCACAACTTTACTTTCGTTGGTCGATGGTGAAGTGGAATGTCGACTGACTTCACTAAATTAGAAATTTTGTTAGTGATGGGTTCGAATTAGAGTTGGACAAGACGAGACCGATACCGAGATTCTCGGCTTTTTTCCAATATCGGTCTCGGTTTTTTTCATTCTCGTTCTCGAAACCGATACCGATATTCTCGGTCCATTTCTCGGCGAGAAACGATACTGACTCAATGACCCCAATTTTCTTGTATATTTTTATAAAACTAAGGATTTTTGACCTTTGGCCTTCTGAATTTCAAAAAATTTTCGCCTGCGGCGCTGAAAAGAGTGAATCCTTTTTTATTTGCCTTACAAAATCCGAGCATTTCACTAAGCCCTCACGATTGAGTTCGCACGAATGAGTTGCCCTTTTATCTAGCTCAACTGAGTCCCAGTAATTTAATAAAATTAAAAGGCTTAAATACAATGCTGGATTATTACGAGGGATTTGGATGTTTAATGAGATATTAATGGATTTGGAGGGATATCGAATTTAAAGCGGAAAGCTCCATTCATTATTTTTCCATTCACGGGTCAGGTTTCATAGTGAAGTTCGATGAAAATTTTAAATCTATGGAAGAAGATGAAAAATGGACCCGGCCGGATTTTTTTTGATTCGATTGGGACCCGGACTCAGGCAAAGCCGGCCGGAGTCCTAATAATAAGCACTCTTAGGAAGAGTCATCTTCAAAAAATGCACTAATGTTTTTATTTTTGCATCACAATCTCGTAAATTATAATTTTGAATATGACTAAAATATTTTCAGAATTTTTAAAAAATTTCGCTTTCGCTTTCGCATCTTTCGCATTCTCGCATTTTTTGGCGCGAAATCTTTCGCATTTCGCTTTTTAATTTTTTAAAAAAAGTTTCGCATTTCGCATTTTATTTTTTAATTTCGCCCAGCCCTGCTAATTACCCTCCCTCAAATAACGTTCAAATCTCAAAACTAATACACTCTGTTAACTAATTATACGCACCCCCTATTTTTTGAAGTTTTCAAACTGAAATTGAAATTTGGTTTTCTAGTTTTTTGTATATTAAATCTTCAAGTTAAAAGCCATCTATTACCACAAAAATTTTAAATTTAAAAATTTTTTTTTCAGACTTATGGACATTTTTTCCAATTATTGGTGTTAACTAATTATACGCACCCCCTCTAAAATTTTTATTTTTCAATCGAAAAATCCACAAAAATTTATCTGAACATATCTATCAATTTAGATAGGATATACAAAAGAAACGAAGTTCTAATTCGATTCCTTCATTGAGATCTCGAAAATCAACGGAAAACCAGGGTAAATGTCTTTAAAAAACATTTTCGACCCCTTATAGGCTGTATTAAATCTTAATTTTAGACTTTTCTGAAAGCCCTTTAAATTTGCTATAAGAAACCTCTAATATTATTAAATGAAAAAAATTTTACATGGGAGTTATTCAGAGTTGATATAATAATCATGAAATTTACCCTTAAAACAAGCTTTTTTACACATTTGAGATTCAATCCTGTACAACTCAATGAAAAAAAAATTTTGAAATATGAAAATTTTGAAATATGAAAAATCTAAAATTAAGATTTAATACAGCCTATAAGGGGTCGAAAATGTTTTTTAAAGACATTTACCCTGGTTTTCCGTTGATTTTCGAGATCTCAATGAAGGAATCGAATTAGAACTTCGTTTCTTTTGTATATCCTATCTAAATTGATAGATATGTTCAGATAAATTTTTGTGGATTTTTCGATTGAAAAATAAAAATTTTAGAGGGGGTGCGTATAATTAGTTAACACCAATAATTGGAAAAAATGTCCATAAGTCTGAAAAAAAAATTTTTAAATTTAAAATTTTTGTGGTAATAGATGGCTTTTAACTTGAAGATTTAATATACAAAAAACTAGAAAACCAAATTTCAATTTCAGTTTGAAAACCCCAAAAAATAGGGGGTGCGTATAATTAGTTAACAGAGTGTACCTCCCCCTTCCAGTACGAAGTTGAAACATTTATAAAAACTTTATTTTCAACAAAACTTTATTTGAGTTATACTATATCCTGTGTATATTTTCTAACTTATATATATATATATATCCATTTTCTAGCTTTTTTATAAAAAAATCTCTAAAAAATGTCTTAGAAATATTAAATCAAATAAATTTTATAATCTTCTATAAAAACTTTATTTTTTGCCTCAAACAAAACTTTATTAAATTCCCTTTTTAAGATATCCCCTTTTTTCAACACATTCTTTTGGGTTTTTTATTTTTTCTTTATTCAATCCACACACTCAAACCCCTACTATAATATGTATAGGTGAGAATTATGTCTTTCTCACTTTCTCGCATTTTTGCGCTCTCAATTAAACCATTTTTTTTCAATAACAACAAAAATTGCCAAGGAGGAAGTTTGCCAAAGAAATGAGAAAAAAAGGTACACATTCTATCAATAAATATATACAATCTTGTAGATTGTATTTGAGCTAAGCGGAATTAAGGCATGCCAAACATTTTTTTATTTTTAGTTTTGTTTTATGCCGTGAATGAGACGGCTCAAGACTTTTGAATTTATCCTAAATTTAGGTCAAAAGATCATTTCTTTCAAATTTGATATCCTTCTCATTTAGTTTTTTTTGGCAAACTCCTTAAAAATAAAAAAATATAGAATGGAGATGGCTAGAGATTGAATCAGATGAAATCTCGAACAAAGAATCTCGATTATCGAGATTCAAGATTTTTCTATTAATCCTCCTGTTCAAATTTGTGTTCCAGTCCGGTCCAAATCTGTGACTAAATGTCGATTTTTTGTCTTTTGAATTTTTAGAATTTAAAAAATATTTTTGATGTCTGATCCCGATATTCAAGGAGAATTTCGATTCGAACAGTTCTTCGTTGTCTCTTATGTATTTTTCGCGCATTGAATTTAAAAATTTATAGCATTTTTTCTATAAAACCAAACAGATATTTAATACTGTCCTCATTAAATAATGAACACAGCAGAGGATTAACTAGGTATCCCTTACGTAAATTAGCATTTTTAATGACTAAAAAATATTTTTAATTTATTGTCTCAACTACATTAAATTAAATAATTTTTTTTTGATTAATAGCCAGGTCGGGTTTTCAATTTTTTTGGAATGGATTTCGTGTTTATTAAAGTCCGGATTTCGGATAAACCGTCCATCCCTTATACCTACACCTCCTTTTTTTAATCTCTGATTCCTTCAACTCTTCGAGGGATTGTTTAACTCAGATTAAAGTATGAAAACGTAGGGATGATAGTTAATTTTGTTTATGGGGGAGTTAATTTTGTTTATGGGTGTTTATGGGGCGCTTATCATCTAATGACAATGTTTTTCTCGCTTTTCTCAACAACAAATAGAATTTTTACATTTTTAGTTAAAAGACTAAAAATATTAAATGTCCGCGCAACAATTTTCTTCTTCTCCCTCCCCTTCCCCAACATTCTTTACTAGCACATCCTTGCCAATCTTATGCCTCATTGATTGGCACTCGCCAAAGTGCCGAGAACAGCATTATCAAATTCCTGCTCCTAAATTTGTCTCGGCACAATTTTTGCCTTTAAGTGAATCAAATGAAGAAGATAATGATTATTTAAATAAGAAAAATGGTAAATTAAAAAATAAATTTTTGTGGATATTTTTATTATTTTTTTGGTATTTTTTATTTTTAATTTTGTTTGAATTACATACATAAATCATTGTTGAATAAGATTTATGACAAAAGATAATTATATACACCTAAATATCACATTTTGTCGTATTTATCCGAAAATATTTTTTAATCTGGATATATTCGAAAAATAATCTAAAAACAACTTACAAATAAGACATATAAATAAAAATATTAATTTTTAATTTCTAAAAATTTTTCTATTTTAATATTTTATAGTCATTTTTTTATTTAAATAATTTTTACACTTTTTTTAATTAGTTTAAAGTTTAAAATTATATTTGATTAGCGTTTGACACAGTGCCGGGCCAAGGACAATGTTTCCGATCCCGATGCGTGGTAATTAAAACCAACTTTTCGTTTATTGGAGAATTAAATTTGAGATTTGTTCGCTTAACGGTCGAAGACAAAGAGTCTCTCTGTCTGGAAACGGGCATTTTATAAAATTCTATTGAGGTTTTCCCTTGTTTTCGTGGTTTCAAACGGGCAAAAATTATATTAACCAGGCCCGGAAATTTGAAAATGTCGAACTCTATTTAGAATATAAAAATAAAATAATTTATAAATAATTTAATTAAATCATTTTTTAATAAATTAAAGCATTTTTATTTATAAAAAAGGCTTCTTCACTCCAATCATCTCAAAATCGCTCAATTGGGAAGCACAAAGAATTACTAGTACCATAACAACTATATCTCCAACATCTCCACCAACATTCCAAACATCTCCACCTACTAAACCAACATCTTTACACTCAACTAAATCATTTTCAAGTCCCTCTACCTCAACAATAACATCAACTACAACAACTAGAAAACGGCCTCATTCATGGACTCGACCCAAAACTAAGTTGGAACATTTTACTTTTGGTAAGTTGGAATATTTTATTTAAATTTTTTTTGGTTTTTTAATAAATAAAGCTTTAAAAATTAAATTTTTTCAGTTCAAAAAAAGAATTTTTTCTATGTTTTTTTCGATTTTTTTATTTTTTAATTGCTTTTTACTTTTAATAGTTTTTACTTCCTTTTTGTCTTTAAAATTCTTTTCGTTCACTTTTTTATTTTTTAAGAATTCTTGTCTTTTTACTAAAATTTTTTAAAAATATAAATTTGTTTTTTTAACATTTCTAAAATTTTTTAATACTTGACTTATTACGTTCCTTTATTTTAATCTATTAATAATTTTTAAATTATGCCACAGACCTGAACTTTTATGGATAAAAACAAATAATAACCCAACCCCTACTATAAACAATGAATTACAAATACATATACAATATAGTATTACAAATACAATATAGGGGCAAATTACGGTTAGCCAAAACCAAACCGGAATCCTGGACCGAAACTTTTAGTTAACCGAAACAGATTTGGTTTGAAACCTAATACTAAATAAATTCTTAAAATATTTGAGTAAATTTTTAGCGAATTTATACAAATTTTCTTCATAAAAATTTTATTTTTTTCCCATCTTTCTTAGGCTAAAATTTCTGAGGTGTCGATTAAAATTTCAATCAATCCAATCGGACCTCAATAACACGGAGAATATAAAAAAATTTGGCTAAATTATTATTGAAATATATTATTCCATTATATTTCTCACAATCAGTAATTAAAAACCTCAAGTCAAGTATTGGCTTTTCTAATTTTATAATTAAAAGCTTTTTTGCTTTATTTTTTTAAAATCACGCAATTTTACAGCTTTTCTGCTTTTTTACCCCAAAAAACTTTTCTTTCCTAGAAATGTCTTTAAATATATTTTTATGCACATTTTGGTCAGTTGCACAAATCTGGCACGGCCATTGGCCTTAACAAATAAAAAATAAACAAAAATTTTAATGTTGACTCAGGGGAAAAATAAATATAAAAAAATGCACTCCAGCACGCACTTGAGCACAAAAAATAATAATAATAATAATTCTTACTTTTCTAAACTTTTTTTTCCTCTTTTTTACATATTAATTTGCTTATTTTTAATAAAAATTATAATTAAATATTTTTATTTCCTTTTACATTTCGACCAGGGCTGATCGAAATTTCTTCCTGTTTCGCTCTTCCATTCCTTTTCCACTTCGTTTCTGAAAAAATTATTTCGTTTCGAATTGACTGAAATTCTTTCTAGTTCGATCAGTCCTGATCCTGACCTCTACTTATACCTCCTTAGAATAAATTAATTAAATATAAAACTTTTAATAAATTTAAAAATAAAATAAAAAATATAATAAAAACAGTAAAAAAATTTTTTGGCTTTTAATAATAATAAAAAAATTTCATAGAAAATTCCAATTAAATTTATTTTTTTTCAAAAAAACATTTGTTTAATTATTTATGTTGACAGAAAATACCTAAATATAAACTTTAATTCTCAAGCAATTATTTATTTCTAAAAGGGATTTTAGAATTAAATGTATATTTTTAGCTATAAATGTACTTTCTTTATTAAAAAATTATTTTAAGTATTTATTTTTGAAATTTCCCTTTTAGAGATTATTTTTTTAATTATAGAAATTTAAATTGAAAAAAATCTGTTTAAAGCATTAAACATATTATCAGTGGTTTCCGAAAGTCATTTTAAAAAGCGAACAGCGAAAGAAAAGGCGAAACTCGCACACCCCGGCAATTTATGTATGTTATCAGTAGGGATGGGTATTGTGCGTTTTATGACTCTCCCTCTAGCTCCAGGAGCCATATTATTCTATCGTCATGACTTTCGAGAATCATAATATGTCGTTTGAAATAAAAATATGTCGACTATTCTGTCAACATAAATTAAAACATACATACATTAAAATTTAAACAAAATTTAACTATCAAATATTAAAAAAAATTTTCAAATATTTCCCAATATTAGCTTCAATTCCATCGGCTTCTCCAATTCAGCCAAAGTCTTCAAAATTGCTTTCTTCCGAATTAAATTTAATGAATTCTGACACTTATAACGTTCAAAGCACATCAAAATCTAATGAGTATTATGGACCCTCATCCTCAGAAATATTAAATGATCGAGAAGAAAAATTATTAAAAACATTGGGGTATCATAACAGACACAGAATTAAGTTGAAACAAAAGGAAGAAAAAGGAAGAGAAATTGAGGATGAGGATGAAGAAAGTCAAAAAATGGAGGAAGAAGAGAAAGAAGAAGAGAAATTAAACTCTAGTAAAAATTATATCCCTAAAGGGGGTTGGCCTATGAGAACTAGAACTTGGCCAGATGGAAGAAGACTTGGATCGGATGGACTCAAAAAATGGCAAAAATTGAGGCCTAAGATTATTCGACAAGAAGATAAAATTAAAGAAAAAACAAAACAAACAAAAACAACTAAAACTTCAATAAGTTCCCCTTCCTCGCCTTCAACTGCCTCTACTAAAATCACTCAAAAAACAACAAAAATGCCTTTACAACGTTTTACGGTCGATCCGGGTATTAAGCCTGGATTGCATTTTACTTTTGGTAATCAAATATAGTAAATTAATATTACTGCAAAATTAATAAAAAATTTATAAAAAATTTCTAAGTTTATTAGTATTTCGTCTTAACTAACTTATTGTTAGCCTCTACCATATTTTTTTGAATAATTACCATGGGTTTTTTTCACTTATTTCCAGAAAAAGATAATTAAAAAAGGTGGGACAATCATTCGAGTTTTGAAATTTGAACGGGCGTAATCCTGATATATCTCCTAATATCATGATCCGGATCTCACTCGGAGGGTAGTTAATAGTTTTTCATGATAAATCCCCTAATTAGGGTACACTAGTGAGGGTACTTAATAGGGTTAGTATGGATAATTAATCGAGAAAATCGGTAGAAGTGGACTTATAAGTTGCTCTTTCTAAAGATAAAGCATAAAAGGAAATGTTAGCATCAAAATTAGGTGTGTACGGTAGCCATTTTTGAGGCACACTAAAACCGAGTAAATTGGCAACAAGTCAAGCTTGCATCACTTTAGCCTTATAATCAGGGGATGAATTCTACTTATAGATCTAGTCCCTATACCAAAAGTTTTCCCAGACCCAGTGCTCTAAAACATACTGAAGGATTTCGAGTAGATCAAAGTATTTATTTATTTTGACCCAAGGATTCATAAAAATCAAGGAATTTTGATCGTTTTGCAAATAACAGTATATATCATTTCGAGGGAAGGGTTTTGCAAATCCTTAACAACTGGATAAGAAAGAGGAGATTTTGAGGCCCAATATCAGTCATTTTTGCGATTCGCACATTTCTCTTTCATAAAAATTTTGACATCTGAAAAGAGGAGCTGAGGAGGTGCGGCAATTTTGCAAAAATTTTTGCTTGCGTCTGCGCCTCTATCTTAAACCCAAAGAGAGGTATTTCGAAAAATCCTAATACATTTTGTTCTCCATTTAATTCTCTATTATTTGATTGTATTTTTATATTATTTGATTAAGTTTTAATAAAGTTATGATGAAAAATGTGCGGGCAAAGACTTTTGAGTCACCCTGTATTTAATAAATAGAGACCCAATTGAAAGGAGAATAGTTGTCTATTATTAATTCTAGCTAAGCGCCTCTGAATTTTTGATTTAGAAAACTTTTAAAAAGAAAACTTTTAAAAATTAATTTACAAAAACATTTAAAATTTAGCACAATTTACCCCCTATTTAAAGTCTCACTTACACAAATTCACCTAAAAGAATTGACTTTCTTTCCTAAACCAAATTTCGTTTTGTTGCACAAAAATGTTTTTTCTTGTTTTCCCTTTAATTTTTTATTAAATTTTTATTCACAAAAATAAAATCTAAACTTTATATTAAATGTTCTTTTTTCCTTAGTTTTTTTATTTAACCTTAAAATTTTGTTTTTATTATAAAAATATTTAGTGTGCGAATAGTGCTGCTGGAATCCCTAAAAATAAATTAGGTATAAGGATAGCTAGAGACACTCTATACCGATTCCCTTTATCCCCAAATCCACCAATATCCCTCTTTATGCCTCTCAAAAACTCTTGTTTTAAGTTATTAATATTTAAATGCTTCGTTATTTACTAGACTTCACACTAATTTGGATATTTTTTTGAAAATCCGGGTCCAGATCCGTGTCTATAAAATCGGGATTTTGGATTTTCGGGATTTTGATCCCGAAATATATATAAAATTTTCATGTATTCGGCGAAGAAAATTTGCTGTACCTTAATTCTAACAAAAAATTAAATTATTATTTGATTGCAGTGTGCTTTTTTAGTAATAACATGTATGTATATATTTGTTTTTATTTTCTTTAATCTAAAATTTAATTTTAGTCTTGAACTTTCACAAATTTTAAGTTATAATATAGGGCTTTTTCAAATTTTCTTTTAAAAAGTTTATTCGGTTCGATAGCGTATATCCGAAGATTTTACGAGAACAGACAAACTATTACATAATTATTTAGCTTTTAAATAGAACCGGATAGATAAGTTAGTTGATTATTATAGTTATTTTCGAGATTTTTCGAGTTATTTTGTAGACACCTCCAGTGGCTTCTCTAATTGATAGGTACTAACGTATTTTCCTAAAAATTATCAAATCAACCCTCAATTAGAGGAAATAAAATTTAAAAAACTACCTGTAACTTTGTTTCTTTCTATTACTTTTCTTTCTTAAAGCACCACTAATTAGTTAACATTTCTAGGAAAGAAAGTCACTTCTTTAAACGGATTTGCCAAATTATTTATCTCTCTTCCTAAATAAAATTCATTCTAATTTTAAAACTTTTTTAATTTTGCAGTAAAATTCTTTTTAAAAATTTAATTTTTTTAAATGGTCCTTTAAAAAATTTTAAAAATTTATAGCACCAACTTCAAAGCCCTCAACTAGCACAACAACTAGAAAAACTTTAGCTCCCCGCTTTCCTGTTGATCCTAATGATCCGACTTTGTATGCCGTTAGACCAACGACACCAATGAACGGCGCTTCTCAATACGGAAATACTCCTACTGTATGTTAATAAATAATTTGATTTCAAGGAAAGGGGCTAAATTGAACACTTTGGCGACCCAGACCAGTTTTTTGTGTGAAAATATCAGCAATATTATAAGCGATACTGAAACTGTGACCGTCATTGTATGTAGTCTCAACATCTCTCAATAAATTAAATTCGCTATTATTTATCACTTATCCCTAAATAATCGCTGACCCTTCACTTGTAAATATTCTTTGAGAAAACAATGATTTGTTATTCTCTTAAATTTAACTACACAGCGGGCATTTTACAATCCAAATCCGTATCCAAATAAATTTTTTTGGTTATATCCGTATCTGTTTATATCGGTGGTACTTTTTATTTTATCCAGCCGCTGATATCTGCAAGTATCCGTCTCCTTTTCAAGATTTTATCCATATACTCTGATATCCTGATATCTGCGGATATATCCTTATTTTTAACCATACCTAGTTTACAGTAATTGCAGTTATTTTTACCATTAAGAGATAATAAAATAGTTTCAGACAATGGTTACTTCTACCTCAAACAATCAATTAGGCAATGATAAAAAATTTTTGATTGGAGGTATCCTTATATAGTTAAATTTATATTATCTGTATTTTTAGTCGGATCACTTAGTATTGTTGTTATGCTTGGTGCCATATTACTCTGTGTCTTTTTTAAACGCCCTCATCAGATTTGTGCTCAAATGGCAGCAGCAGCTGGAGGAGGTCAAGGAGGGACTATTGGACAATCTTCGACTAATGGCCCAAAATCTGGATATACACCGATTCCTCCTAATGAATTTTCTCCTCAAGTTCAACACCATCAAATGAGAGAATTCGAAAGTAATAATAATGGAGTTGGTGCTCGCGTTGGAACTCTTGTGGTAATAATTCTAATAATTTTTCATCAGGGATCCATGTTTTGTTCTGTCTATCGGGACACCTTATGTTCGCAACGATAATCAAAATTAATCCAATCTCGAGATAGAACACAGCATAAAAATCAGCTCAAAAGCAAATAAATGTTGATCAAACTCAGTCAAAACCAATCGAACCCAAACTCAAAACATACCAAAGTTTTTTGACTATCAAACACTTTTTAAAACATGAAACTGCCCACTCACTCACTACTACCCCAACTAAAAATCCAATCCTGAGTTATACATGGACCGACAATCATACATACTAAATATAGATTTAAATATTTTAATTATTTACACTCAAAATAATCATTTAAAGGGTTCAACTCAAAGTTTATTACGTAATGGAAGTGGAACAATGGGGAATGGAAACAGCGCTTCTGCTGTTGGATTTACTGATAGATCAGGGGCAAGATTTACAACAATATTAGCTCAAGGGAATGGAGGAACTCCACGAGAAACAATTGCAATTTCAAGAGAAGCTCAACAACCTAAAAGAGAATTTAAAGAGTGGTATGTCTAGAATTGAGGAAAATATTAGCAGAAAATAGCGCTCAATTTAATCTAAACTTTAAATTTTTTTCATTTAATAATTAATTATTTTTGTCAAATTATTATCTAATTTTTGTAATCTCACTTGTCATTAAAACAATATTTATTTTATATTTTTTATTATTATGTATAATTTTTTGCAATAAATATATAATTTATATTAATATATAATTTATATATAGTATATATTACCTATTTAATTTATATTTAATCAAAAAAACCTTCTTAAAAATATTTAACATCAAAGAATATTTTAATAATTAAAGTCAAAAAATTTTGGTTATCGAGACCGGACAGGGAATGACGTAAAAATATTGTATGAGATATCGATGAATATCTCAAATCTGAAAAATAAAATTTTGTTCAAGACAGTCTCGATATAATTTTGTGTATAAATATCAATTTCAAAAAAGCTTCAACGCAATCTAAACTTAAAATTTTTTCATTAAAAAATTTTTCCTAAATTAATAATTTTTTACCCAATTATTATTAATTTTTTGTAATCTCACTTATCCTTAAAACAATACTCATTTTTGAATATTTTTATTATTATCTATAATTTCTTGCAATAAAATTATATTTATATCAAACGAAAAAACTTTTTCCAAACATTTATCATAAAAAATGTTTAAAAATTTTCTAATTAGAGACAAAAAATTTAGGTTATCATGATCGGAATTGGAATGTCGTGCGAGAATTGAGGATCTTTAAATTCTTTGAAAATCTCAAATCTTGAGAAAAAAATTTTCGTTCAGACATCGTACGATCTATAGAGATATAGATTTAAATTCTCATACGATACTCCCAGTCCGGTTTCTAATTCTAATACATTTAGGTTTACAATTTAATTTTTTTCATTCTTCTTGGTTCTTATTTCAATAAGATCATATGGAAAAAGGGGGTGATAGTTATTTGGCAATCTATCAATTTTATAATTTTCTGAATCTAGAGTTTCCTTCTTCAACACTTCATTTTCCGAAATATCCAATTTAGGCAAATTTTCATTTTTTCCATTTATCTTATCCAAGGTTCTTGCGCTCGACAGCACTTTTTCCAAAGTTTTATCCCTTCGAATAATCACTGGCGGCGGCAGCAAGCAGTTATTTACAGACATATGTCTGCAAGACTTATTCTTTGAAATATATTTTGAAGAATTCGCAGGAAGTGCCACTTTTGTAGGAAGTGACAGTTGCTTCCCAATTAAGTTTTTCTTCAATACCACTCTTTCGCTGCTAAACTTTGGTATTGCTTAAATAAATGGAATTATAAAAAATTTAAAATAAATTTTAAATAACAACCAGCTCGCGGAGGAGTTAAATTGGTCAAAACGTTGTTTGAGAAATTGATTTCCATGAAAACAAATAGTAAGATAATGGTGAGATAGTGTATCATATTCATGGGAAATGCCTTATTGTTTTCGTTGAAGCTGTAATTATTTTAGTCTGGATTTGCTTTTCTTAAAAATGCTGAGTGATTTCAATGAAACCGATCCCGTATTTATAACCTTAAGATTGCCCTTTCAACGAGATTGCCCTTTTAAATAAAAACAGGCAAATATGAAAAGGGCAGGATTCATTACCTATATTGAAATGTTGGACTTTCTGTTAATTTCACAGAAATATACACATGAAATCAAAAATCCCTTTTCATGTTTTCACATGAATATGCATGCATTTTGAAGTTGATATTTCGTTGTAAGATGCAATATGTGATGAATATATGATGCAATACACAAGCAAAACTCACCTTTAAATGCCCTTTTAACTTCAAAGCTTCCGTTATTGACAGTCTTGAGTCTGTAATTTCTTAACAAATGTAGTGTGAATGTAGCGTGAAAGGGAAATAATCAAAGAAAAATACAAAGGTGATAGGGAGACTATTATTTTGAAATTTTAAAACCGCCCAGAGCGACGCTAGCTACTCCTGTCCAAAAAAGAGGAATAAATACGCGATTAATTTCAAAGAAAAATCATAATTAGAATTCTTTTCAAGGAAATCCAGCTTTAAATTTAATAATTTTCAACTTAAACTATTTTAATATTTCACTGAATTAAAAGAAAAATCATGAGGACATTCAATTCAATGAAACTGTTGAGCATCTGTCAGTTTGTGGCATTAGTTTTCCCCATTTTTATTCTACATGCTTCAAAAGGAGTACCTGTTGGAATTATTCCTAATAGCGCTCCTTTACAAGGTGATTCTTTTTAACAAAATTTACAAATTCTAGTGTGGGAGAGGCAAAAGTCTCCTGGTAGTTATCGCTAGAATATTTCGCTCACATTCAGCGTCCACCTACTTTTCTAATGTATTTAAAGCTCCGCTTAGTAAGCGTTTTAAATGCTACCCATCTGAATCTCTCTTCTTCCCTAAATTTTTAATTTATTAATTTAGCAAAGTTTCCAATTAGTCACAACGCTGTTAGAGTTGCTCAAAATCGAAACGGACTAGCTTTAAAAGTAAATTCGTCAGCAAGCTCTAACAATGGACCGTTACATTTGGCTATGGAACATTACAATAATCCCCAGTCTGTAATTGTCTCACAAAACCAGAAACAATTTGATAATCCGGCAACGCTTGATAAAAAAGTGCTGGATCATAATGCGCAACATGCGAATGCTAACGAGCATTATAAGCTTGAAGTCAGAATTGCTAAAAAAGGTGAACGTGACACTGAAGTAGGCGAAGAAGAATACATAATGAATGCATTGAGTAAAGCGATCATTAATATCTCTCCAATGAAAATGAACGGGAAATATTCGAAATACTTTCATGAATTTGTGAATATGATCCAAGGTGATCAGACAACATTAACAAAATTCAAACTGAATCCTGGATTCAAAAAGTATATACTTGAGAACGGGATCAAAACTATCTTGGAGCTTGCCCAGTATGATGACCTTAAGGAAAATCACACTAAATTCTTTCAAAAAGCACTTGATTTGTATAATGAAGAAGTTAGGCTAGTCAAATATAAAATGGCTGGCAACAAATTGTCTGATGAGGAAAAGGAGGAAATTTTGAAAAATATGACATTTAGAGGAACAAGCGAAGAAAAATTGATGAAAGAAATTTTGAATGTTTTGAATGTTCTAGAACCTGAACAGAGTTTGATTGGAATAATGAATAAGCATATTAGTGTTTTGGAACAATGCATTCACTTTTTAAAACACCTCTTCTCTAATGACTTCGATGTTGTGGCTGATAATGCAACTAAGACTTCTAGAGCGATTAAATTAGAAATGATTGGGAAAATGGAAACATTGAAAAAGAGTAAGTTTATTTAAATAAAAGCTGAAATGTTTATTAAAGAGATCAGAATATTGAGATATCCTATCTATTGAGATCCAAGATATCGGATCTCAAGGTTGGATCTCAAATCTTGGATCTCAATCGATCTCAAAGTTGGACCACTTGAAAATGATAATGATTGAAAAATATTTTTATAATTGGTATAGGAGAATAAGGGGTAATTATTAGAACAATTAACAGAATTGTTTTAAGATACTAAATTTAATTTTCCTTTAGTTTTGAATAGTACTCAGAAGATTCTTTTATTAATAAAGCATGAAAGGATTTAGAGAAGAATTCAATGAGGATATGAGCTAAAAAACATTTTTGCTAAATAATTTGTATTTTTAATAAAATTTATCATAAAATCTATTAAAATAAATTTTACTTTATTTTATAAATTATTTGAGAGTATGGGTACATTCTGAATTGAATCCCGTCTGGTTCCAGAACACGGCATAGCCGAATTATATGTGACCCGATATCTGGAGCTCTTTTTGATAATTCTTTAAAAAATTAAAAAAAATCATTCTTACAAAACACAAAATCGACAAAAAATGATTATACTAAAATTAAATAAATTATTTTGCTGAGTTAAAAACTTGAAAAAGTTTTTTGCTTGCTGGGATTAAATCTAATTTTTGAAAAATTAAATGATTTTCTAAATTCATCAATTTAATTCATTAATCGTAGACGTACATCTACGTAGACGTACTATGCTGTTCAAATATAAATATCATTGAAAATCACATGGAATTCAGAATATCACTTTTTTCTGAATTAATGAACTAAGAATTATTTTATAATTTTATGACGTAATAAAATATTGTACCAAAAAATTTTTTCTGCTAAAATAAAAAAATTTTATTTTATTAATCGACTGTTGCCAAAAAAATTTTTCAGCTTTTCCAAAAAATATTAAATTGACTTAAGCCAAAAAATATTTTATTTTGGTTTAAAATATTATTCAAAAAAATTTAAATTCATGTGAATAAATAAATTAAAATATTCAATCGTATTTTTTAAAATTAATCTTTAATTATTTAAGCATTGTATAAAATGATTTAATTAAATGGATAATTGTATAATTAAAATAAAATATTAATTTTGAATTTATAAACAACAAAAAATATTTTTTAATAGATTCAAGACAATTGTTGCTGATACTTTATTTAATTATTTTTAATTAAAAAATTTTTTTAATTTTGAATTTATTGAAATGATATATGATGTTAGGTCATGTTGTCAGTTTCCATTTTGGATCATTTTTGCGCAATTCTGATAACCGCAATCGCCCGGAATTGTCTAATCCGCAACTTCAAAAAGCAATTGTACTTTTTTTAATGTAAAACTGCTGGCAAATAACGTATTTTCAGTAAAAACCCCATGGAATTTTACAGAAATTTTTACTATTTTCCACAATTCCACAAAAACAGGCTATATTAAAGACGGCGCACTAATACAAAAGGAGATTTACCTTTTATCCATCCCCCTAAAGAGTAGGAATTATTAGAAAGAGGGGGGGGGGTAGTGGAGTGTGGTCTATAAGTCAGAATCTATAGACATAATATGATATATCAATTTAACTTAATCTAAATTTATAGAAAATTTTATTAGAAAATTTAAATTAAAAAATAATTCGTAATGGCTAAAAATATTAGTTTAATTATTACTATCGCAATTTTATTTTCTTTGATTAATTTCGCTATTAGCAAGGCAGGAGATCGTAAGTTTATTATTTTATTCAATAAAATTATTATAAATATCAGCATGCTCACAACCTAGTGATTGTGTTGCAAATCAGCAATGTTGTTCACTTGGGATTTCTACTTGTACTCCTTTAACTTGTTGTATTTCAAATAACAGTAAGTAATTTAAAAAATATTCACTCTCCATAAAATAAAATGTTAAAATATAATAATTTTAATTTGGTTTCTAAACTAAGCATCTAACAAAAATTTCTGTTATCGGGAGAGATATCTTTCGAGATAACTCGTACGATTCGCATATAACAAAAATTAAGTTTTTTGAGGTATATCGACAATGTTAGTACGACATACCCAGCCCCGATCTCTATTCGGAACATAAAAGAAAACACAATCCAGACCGGATATTCCGACCAAAATTCTCAAAATATTAGTGAGATAAAAAGTTAGTAATTAAAAATTAAAAAAATATTTTGTTAGAAAAGGGTACAAAAAGGTAAATAAAATGAGTGGACCAAAAACTTTAAGGATAACCGCTGAGATATTTAAAAGCAGTTTTTTGATTTACAGTGGCGGAAATTTAGTTAAGAAAAAATATTTTTAGTAATATTTTTGAAAATTATTTTTTCATACATTAATTTGGAATTTTTAATTTTATATAATTTTGTAGCCCTATTTATAAGCTATCAAATGAGCACTCATTTATTAAATAAAAGTTAACGAGTAAGCCAGCAAAATTCTTTTAATTAAATTTGGTCTAAAATTGCGCGGAAATTTAGTTAAGAAAAAATAACACACTTTTATTTTTCATAGTTCCAACATTGGAAAAAATCCACAAAAATTCCATAAAATATATATAGTGATGTAATAATCAAATTTAAAAAATTAGGCCAATATCTCTGCCCAGTGTCAAAATCCGGATACTTCAAAAACGTCTAAAATCAACGTAAAACTCAGGTAGGTCTATTCAAAAAATATTTTCGACCCCTTACAGGTAAGTTAAGATTAAACTATTAAAAATTGAAAAACGTCTAATCAAAATCTCATATTTTAGAACCAGTTGGAAAAACGCCATGTTGTTCAAATTACAGCAAAAATGGTAAATGTACACAACGTCCAGGAAAATAACAGAATTAAGAAGTGGGGGGCATTAATATTTGGCGTCAAGCAAATAAAAACATAAAATGTTATGGGATATAAAATATAATCAAATGAATGGGATGGGAAAATAACTAAAAAATTCTGGTTTTAAAACTTATAAAATTTAAGAAATTTTTGATTAAATTATAAACAACAAAAATTATAAAAAGATAAATCTGTATTTAAAATTCGTTTAGTTGGTAAATAAATAAATGTGATCGAAATTCTGTTTGATCGTAGCAAGTTTATCCAGTACATTTTCATTTCCAAGGCTTTTTTTCATTATTTAAATCTGAATGCCCACTGAACGTAAAGCTGCAACTGAACATAAAACAAATAAGGGTACCGATTCAAGATGCAACCCCCGAGTCCAATCTTAACGATAGAATATTTGGAAATTTTTTCGCAAATTTCAATTTCCACGATATATTTTGCCAAAATATTTTATCATCATTAATGGAAATTTGTTTGATTCGATAAAATTAACTGAACTGCCAGAGCTTAAAGAACATTTTCAAAGATCTTTACAAGGAATTGAGGAAGAGAGAAGAATTGAATTTCTTCTTAATAAAGCAAATGTGAGGATGTAATAGTAGCAAAAAGTAATTTATTAATTAAAAAATTAAATATCATATTTTTTCAACATTCATTCATTATTTTGTTAACAGCTTTCAAATTATAGTAAAATAACTTCAAACTTCCCCCAGTTCTTGCCAAAATAACGGGCATTCTTTCTTTAATTTTATCAGCGAATTTTGTTAAAATATTCGATTCTTCATTGTTTTTACCCAATTCCAAATCTTCTATTTCATTATATGTTTCAATTCCAACCCACCAATGTTGGATATAATATCGACTGAAATTATTTTATGATAATTAGTGGTGTTTTTAATTAGTTGGTAATGTTAGGGAAGAGAATGTCGGACGATGCTGTATCCTAGAGCGGAGGCTGAGATAGCAAACTGGTTGGAGTATAAGCGTTTAGGAGCACAAAACGCCAAATTGTGCCATCAGAATCACATCAGACACCCAAAGGAACCATCGGAACCGAACAATATATCCTGTAAATAAGGGTCTCTAACGATTTTTTCAAAACTATCTGCTTTAAAATTCCACGATTGTAAAGTTTGTTCCAAAATATAAATTACCCGTATTCTCTCTTAATTTCATTTGGCAAACATTTTTCCTTATCAGTAGAATGAGTATATTTAATTTCCCTTTGATTCAGTTCTATCGAAAAGATTAATTCTAAACGTATACGACTCTCCACAAATCGGCAATAATTTTCAGCTTCTTTAAGATCATTTTTACTTACAAAACACAAAATCAACAAAAAATGATTATACTGAAATTTATTGTTTTTATATGTTTTCAAGAATTTAGTACCACCTTTTTCAAGAATTTAGTACCATCCAACCAATTTTTCCAAAAATTATTAAATTCCTCATATCCCGCATTCATATTTTTAGCATTCATTATCATATTATTTGCTAAAATATAAAATTTTAGAAAATTTTGTAAAGATGGTCGACTATTTTGAGAAAATTTGCAATATTCTAAGGATCTTATGACTTTAAAGCTGTTCACTATATGATCATTTGTATGTCATAAAGTCCCCGACGTAAGACAGCTTTAAAGTCTTAAGGTCTGTCATAAAGTCCCCGAAAATTTCTCTCTCTCCGTATCCGTCGAATTTTTTTTCACTCAGATGAAATTATCCGAAAATTTCGTTCATATATCGGATTAAGGTATTCAGAGATTTTTCACTAAGTTATCCCAGGGAGATATCCAAAGATTCCCCCATAGTTTCGTTTTTTCAACAATTTTAAAAATGCAAAGCCTTGGTACACACTAATGGTATAATCAGTTATCCAAATTATCAATGTAATAGATACAAAAAATATCATTTCAAACCTTCATTAAGCTCTCTTTGAATAATTTGTTTAGTCGAATAATTTACATTAAAAGCGCAATTTTGTTCTGGATACCCAGGCATTAAAACTACCATTAAGAGATTGAAATGCCTTTGTAAATAAATCTTTTCCTCTTCGGATCTCGCAATATATTTCAACAAAAAATCATTTTTAGCCTTAATTTCGTCTTCAACTGACCAACTAATTGAATTTTGGGTTAATTCACCTAGTTTAACTTGATAATCCCAATCCCTAAAATTAATCTTAAATTGAGTTAAAATTAATTTAAAAACCACTCGCTATATGTGTTAAAAAATTTTTCTAATAGATAAATTATGGATGAGTCAAAATAAAGCAACACAAGTTTAATAACAAGTACATTCAGAGTTGCTCCATTGAAGAAACCAAATTGGCCATTATATATGAAATGATCTAAATATTATGTTTTTTTAGTTGGCTCGGAAACCTCGGCGCCAAAATCATAGAGCCCATATTCCGTTTCTACTTGGAGCAAAATTCCTTCGGATCCAGGTACCCAGTTTAGACCCTTTTGGAGCTCAGTTTGGAGTCAGAGCAAAATTGGATGAAATCTTAGATCCCAATTTTCAGTGCCAGGATTTCCGCTCATATTAATCCCACCCAATCAATATCAAAATTCTTATATTAATGAGTTATTTTATTAATGGGTTATCCATATAGTTATTTATGCAGATATAAATTTAATAATAAATCTAATTTTTATTAAATAATTTTCAGAAGTTAGTTTGGTAAATTAGGTAAGTTAACTTAAACATTAAATATTACTTTTCGCCCATCTCTTCACAGTCTTTGTAATAAATTGAAATTTATTCATATTATCATTTACATTAATCATTTGTTGCATAATTTTATTTGAATTATAAGAAGCTAAAGAATAAATTTGGCTTTTTATTTCTTTAATTTTCTCTCTATTTTCTGGTAAACCTTTGTTTAAATTTAATATTTCTAATTTTTGGGCAAATCCTTCAATTATTAATTCCACTTGTTTTTTATTTAAATTAATTATTGGAACTAAATTTTGATCCGGTTTTTGTTCAATTATTACAAATGAAATGTCAAATTGAGTTTTATTTATAGAAAATTCAATTATTCTGTTTCGTGTGTGAATATTCTTGCGAAGGTTGTGAATTTTATAGTTCTAAATTAAGTTTATAAAGCTAAAGAAAAAGAGGTTTAAAAATGAGTATAAAATCGAGAAAGTATAAGAATCGAGAAGAATATCTGTTCGAGATTTCATCTCACCCACAGGAATATCGTGCTAATATTATAAATCGTTTTTTCTTTATATTGTTACTTTGCACAAATAACAATATAAAGAATTATCATTACATTGTACTTTACCAAAAGTATATTTACACAGATCATTATCTGGACTTCCATAAAATTGGATTAATTTATTAATTCCACATCCATCATTCTCTTTTTTGCTTAAAACAACAATCGCATCAGAATCAGAAGTATTTGTTTTTAATAATTGTGATCCGGTCAACAAAAATTCAATATAATAACATTTAGATAAGCTAGCCCATCTTTTAATGGTTGAAACAACATAATTAATATCAGAATGAATATAATTATTAGTAACAATAAATGAAGAATTTATTTGGTTAATAAGCTTTAAAAATAGAAATTAAAAAAATTTTATAGAGAAAACAATCTTTCGGAATTGCCCAATCCTAAAAATAGTGTAGACCAATGTATGGATAAGAAAGTTAACAAGAAAGCTCAAGTATCAAGTCCCATCAAATCTTTTACTATTTTCTGGGTTTGTTCGGCCGCATTACATTTCAAAAAATTAATGGGATTCTCTGATGAAAATTTTTTGAATCAAAGATGAATACTACGGGTGCTTTTTAAACCGTTAATCTACACGAATTTGAATGTTACTCGTAGTCTACCAAAGCTGATTCTCTTGTTCCTCCCCCTCCCCCAGGAAGAATTAAAAAAATATTTTTAATAATTTATTAGCTTACAGCGTTTAGTGAATCTCTCTTTTGAACATAAAAATAAGGTAATTCTTCAAATATTGGCAATTCCTTTATTTTACCCATTTGCTTATTTGATTCTAAAATGTAATTTTATTATATTTTCTACATTTATTTATTTACACACCTATCAGTTGAAGCTGCGTTTCTTTTATTTGATATTGATGGATAAATGTTGATTCAACAAAATTTTTTGAAAGCAATGAAAATAAAATCCTTTTTTGTTGTTTTTGTTTCATTTGATCCCACCGACTTTTTGTTATTATTAAAGCAAGCCTTTAATATTAAATCAAAATTTTTTGAAAAAACTATCCCTTTACCTCGATTAATTACTCCCAACAAATGATTGAAACAATAATTACCCCCTTACTAATAGTTGTAATTAACCTTTATAAAATGATCTCTATTGTTTACACCTTCCAGAGAGGTTGAAACAAAAATACCTATGGTAATTACTGACTATATACGGTAGTTCTATTTATATAGTACTTTTAGCTCCGAGGTAGGGATGGGATCTCAGGGATGGGATCTCCGAAGATTTCCGGCTTCAGCCGATTTCATTCTTTTTGCTCATACGTTTACTTCCGTCTTCCGATAAAATATGGCATGGCCCAACCCAAATCCATACGTATAGAAAATCAAAGTCCGACTTTTTAGAAAATTATTAGATACCTTTCCTTGTGTAATTTGCTTTTGACTACATCAATTTCAATATCATAATCAATTTTTATTTCATTTTTGAAATTTATCAAATTCCAGTTATCCGTCACTAATACCAATTCTTTCAATAACAAATGCAATTTATTTATTAAAACTTCAAATTTTTCAAAATCATCGATGATATTATCATCATTCCCCAATAATATAATAAAATATTCTTCTAATGAATACCGTATTTATTCTAATAGTACTACGTCTCTATTTGAACCACGGTCTCTAATATAACCACATCAAATGGAGGAGTTGAAAAATACAACCACAGTCTCTAATATAACCACATATCTCTCATACTCTTAAATAAGTACTATAATTCTCGTTAACCTTAGCAAATCCAGGAAAGCACATGGAATATTCAGTAGGAGAATTTATGAGAGCTAAAGTGTCGGGGGATTATGAGGAAAATGGAATAATGTGGATTATGAGGAAATATAGAAAGATTTGGGAGGACTAAGAAGATGAGGAGAATTTGGTCAATACGAGGATTTGGGGGATTGAGAATGATTAAGATGAATTAAAAGGTTGTGAATTTTTCCATAATTAATAGGAATCCAATTCTCTTGCTATACCAGTGTATCAACTCTAATTGTTCTAAATCCATCGATATCCTTTCAAATCCTTCTATATCCCTTATAATGCCTCCATTCCAAAACTTTAATATAACAATGAGGTAGGAGTTCATGGTAAATTTCCTAGGTTCTCTTACTAGGAAATCGAGTTGAGGGTTAGATCTTATTATAGAAAATCGACATTTTTGTTAAATCTGGCGCCGCACTCGAAAATCTAGAGAATTTTGAAGTCGAGAAACCACCAAATTGATTAAAAATTATAATTATTTTTGGAGAATATGACAAGAAATTCTCAATATTTTTCCTATTTTTCAAAAAAAAAAGATTGAAAAATAAAGCCACAGTCTCTATTTGAACCACAGTCTCTAATATAACCACAAAAATCGAAGGGTTGAAAAATAGAACCACTGTAGTACTATTAGAATAAATACGGTATTTATTTTGACATTCTTGAATATTTTGTTTATAAATTTGTGTTAAAATACAGGGTGTTTCACCAGAAAAGCCCTTTTTGAAAAATTAATAACTTTTTTCAATATTGACATATTTTAATGATATTTTGTATTTTATAGCTATAATTTATAAGGTTTTTTTTGACATAAAAATTATGTCTAAATTCGAACCCTAACCCGAGATAATTTCGTACTCTACCGCTCTGTTTTTCCCTTTTTCCCCACATGCGTTCTTACTCCCTTTTGTTTGCTACGAGCGGCGAAAGACAATAGAGTAAACACTAGGCGATAGACACTACATTTTCAATACAGTATCTACTCTTCGCCATACACAGGAAAATAAATGAAGTAAGATAGCACACAAAGAAAATAGAAAGAAAAGAGAACGGTAGAGTACGAAATTGAAATAATGGGTTAGGGTTCGAATTTCGACATAATTTTTATGCCAAAAAAAACCTTATAAATTATAGGTATAAAATACCAAATATCGTAAAAATCTATCCACGCAGTAAAAAGATATTAATTTTTCAAAAAGGGCTTTTCTGTTGAAACACCCTGTATATTTAAATAATTTATTTGTGGAGATGATTATTAGGTTATGAAAACTAATTCTACTTTTTCCATGAAATGCGAGTTGAAAAGAGTGCTTAATCATGCAGTATTTTAGAATTGGGATTTTAAATTTGGAATAAATTTGGGATTTACAATAAGCCAAAAATGCTTATTCCCACCGAAAATCCTTTCTCCTTACCTTTTAAACTCCCGAATAAAATTCTAGTTGAATTTTTATTTTCTTCACAATTTATTACTTTTTCAATATTATTTTGTTTGAATCTCTTGATATAATCAAAACGTTTTTTAATTTCATCAATAATCACTCCAATTTCCAATGCTGGAATTATTTTCTTTGGATCTCCTTTACCTCCAATAAATTTTTCATAAGCTTCAAATAGTAATTTTTCCTCTAAAAACATTTTTGGGTGAAAAGGAGTGAATTTTGAAAATGATTTGAAGTCTTTGTGATTTTCTTTTGAAATAACTTCATTAACTGGGACAAGTTCATTATCTTCTCTTTCCCCCTTTTTCAAAATATTTTCTTCCTTTTTATCAATCATATTAGCTTTTTGTTCTTCGTCTTCATGATTTTCATTAGCGGATATCTCCACTTCATTATCATTTGTTTGGGTTATCTCAATTTTTCCTTTATCCAGATTTTTAGATAATAAATTTTGATTATTCTCTATCATTAAATGTTTGTTAGCTTCATTTAATTCTCTTTTATCTTCCAAATCTTCATTCTTTTCTTCCAAATATTCAATTTTTCCTTCCTCTAATATTTCATTCTTCTCATCTCCCAAATTTTCATTGCTTTCTTCTTTCATATCTTGAATCATTTCTCTCATCAAATCTTGATTTTTTTCTACTTTCAATTTAGAATTTTCATTGTTTTCTTCATCCAATTCTTCAGTTCTTTCCTTTTCCAAATTATTTTTTATTTCCATTTCTTTATTATTTAAATAATATTTTAAATTCATTTTGCTGCTATTATTCATAGCTAATAATGATTTAATATCGTCTTCCTCTTTTATTTTTAATTTCCTCAAATTTTCTTCTTCTCGAATTTTCTTCCTCTCTTCCTTTATCATTTTCTTTTCATCCTTTTTATTTATTTTCCAGTCCTTTTCTTCTTCAATATCATCATTGTTATAATTATTCTCGTCCAATTCATTGCTATTCTTTTCAACTAATTTTCCGTCCAAATCCAAATCATCATCATTTATCTCTTCAACGATTTCTTGATTTTGTTTATCTTCCTCAATATTATTTGGCTTTATTGTCTTAGCTTTCTTATTTTGCTTTTTTCGTTGTTTCTTGGAAAGGCCATTATTTTTACTAACATTAGCTTTATTATTTGTTTTATCATTAGTATTTCCTGTAGCATTTATTTCTTTCATGATATCTTCTACTTCAATCATTACTTCTGAAAAATTCAATAAAATTTTTTGAATATAGTTGAAATAAAACTTTTGTACATCCGATATATTATTCAGAAAGTTATTTTTCTGAAGCATGCAGATCCTATGTCACAGACTCGAGGATTTTTATCATATATTCGTGAACTTATGTAAGTTAATTCATCTAGCATCATTAAAAATTGCTTAGGTACGGATTAAACGAACACAGGGAAAAAGATAAAGCAATAGTCGACGCCCCGGTAGTGCTTAGTGGTACAGCATCTGCACAGGTTTAAGCGATACTGGCGAGTATCAGCGTTTTTGCGGGTTCGAATCCTGTCCTGTGTCAAACTTTAGTTACTCTTACTATTATTTAGTTTACTCTTATCTCAGATTATCAATAAAATTTCGCCCAATCCTTATCTAAATAAGAATTTAAATTTTGAATTTTCACCTTTCGTGCTCTCATTTTTTATCTCTTTAGATATATTTAAATTTCCACCTTCGTCATTCTTATATAGTTCAGATACAATGATGTAAACATTAAATCTTTCTAATGAAGGTTTTCCAAAAACATCAATAAATGTTTTTAATAAATTATTCTCTCGAGTTTGAAAATCTTAAGAAATAATTAAAAAACTAAAAAATATTCCGAATTTATTCTTTTATTTCAAACAGCATTCTTTTATTTTAAAGCACGATCTCTTCGTTTTCTTAGTTGAATTCCAAAAAGTTGGGAATCTTGGCTTTGGGAGTGTGCGACGGAATAATTAATACGATTTTACTACCGGATTTTATCTAAATTAGAGGTTCCAGGCCAGACATGCACGAAACGTTTCGTTTCGTTTCGTTGTTTCGTTAGTTTCGTTATGTTTTTTCCTGTTTCGTCTCGTTTCGTGACGAAACACTTTTTAGTTTGTTTCGTTTCGTTTTGTTAACGAAACACCTCTGTTTCGTTAACGAAACATTACCCATTTTTTAAACCAAAATATTACCCAAGAACTGAAAAATTTTCCCCTTTGGTGATCAAAATTCAAAAAATTTTTGCCTGCGGCGCTGAAATCTGGATTTTAAGCGCCTATGGCGCATAATTTACTATATTTTTTTGAATTTCTCGTTTGATCTTGTTTTTTTAATATGCAAAGCCCAAATTCTATGCTAGATTAGGCATAGAATCGATCTAACAATTAATGCCAATCAGGGCAGGCGCAAGAGTTTCAATAAAGTTTAGTTTCAATAAACGAAAACGCAACTGATGGCAATGATCATAAATATGGTTGTCTTTTTTCGGGCATGTTTCTATCGAGTCGGGCCAGACGAGTCTTTTCGGGCCAAATATCTTAGGCCCGACTCGATCTTTTGGTCCGAGTCGGTCCATTTTGGCAACCCTAATCATGAGCGTTGTTATTAACAAAAAAATCTGAGTTGAGAAATATCATTGGATTTGGCGGGAGCAATGGTGGTATAGGAATTTGGGAGAGAATAAACGTGGTTGGCGGATTTGGCGGATTTGGAAGGTTTAAAAAATTTTAAAAAATGTCGGGAATCAGGAACGGGTTTATGAGATAGTAATTTCCTACAAAATTAATTCCCGATTTTAGGGAATCAGGAAACGGGTCGGCAGGTCCCTGATATACACATATTCTCAACACAATTCGATTAAAGTCGATTTTGTGGAATTAAGGCTGATATAGTGGATTATGTTAGCCTATGACCACAATTTAAGGTCCCTCTAAGCTATTAGATCAATTATAGGCCATAACTGGCCTATTAACGTGTCTAAAATCGAATAATTAAGAAAATAAAACCGTTTTTATTAAATTTTTTGAAAATTAAAATGTTTCGTTTTGTTTCGTTTCGTTTCGCTAAATTTTTACTGTTTCGTCTCGTTTCGTTAACGAAACGATTTTTAAAAAATTTTGTTTCGTTTCGTTTCGTCTGAAAAAATTTTGGAGTTTCGTGCATGTCTGTTCCAGGCTACCGTTTGAAAAACCCCGATTCGGCACGCGGTTTGAACTCTACTTGTTATTAAATTATTCGTTAACTTGTGCCTGTTTATATAAATTAAACTAAGGCGAGTAGTTCATCAGGGAAATAGGTCTTCAGGGTGTAGGTCTTCAATGGTGGATAAAGATTACCATTCTAATACCATTATTATTATATTAGAATAAATACAATTGTTAAAAAATACCTTTAATAAATCTTGTACGGAAATTAACATCTAATTTACCGCTCATAAACAATTTTATAAAACAATTATATTTATCTTCTTTCAATGCATTTATAAATTCGACATAGTTATCTAAATTGAATATTTTCGATGCGAGATCATCCACAATTTCTTTCCACTCATACTAAAAATAATAATTGAATAATTCTATCATAATTAGAGAACAGAATGAGAGTGCCGTACGAAAGCGTACGAGATATCTAGAAAAATATCTGTCTCGTTAACAGAGATTTTTGTTCGAGCCTGATCTTGCTAGTCTCATAATACACAGCTCATAAAAGCGTCAACCTATTTTTCTTGACTTAATATGATAACACCTCGTTTCGATTAAAAAAATAAATATCGCTAAAATTAAGTTTAAAAAAATTTAGTTTTTCATGTCAATTTTTTGAGAACTTCAATCTCCTTTTTAATCATTCAAATAATTATAGTGCCACTTAATATTATTTGTTCTTTGTTAACTTTTAGACAATGTTAGGTCCCATAGCTTTTTCTTAGATTGTGACATGGGGCTCTGAAATGTAGATACCTGTAATTTCATCATATATGAATTTTTATCTAAAGATTTATAGTTCTTTGATCGTTTTTTCAATTCCATTGTCTGAATCATTCGCAGAAAAAAGACTGGAAAATTAGAATGAACTCTCGTTAATGCAGCTAAACTTTTGTTCTTATCAAGTGAATAACAGTAAGGTATATCTAATTGATCTTGGGCCAGTTTCCAAATTTCTATAGTCCAAAGTCTCATCTTTCTTGTAGTGCTATTTGCAGTCCATTCTTTATTTGAGTTTAAAGCGTCCACCATATAGTGTTGCCAGAGAATAATGTCTATGGCTAACTGATTCCGTTTGGATTCTTCCTCGTTGATTTCATAGAAAATTTTATAAAAGTGTTTCGCAGATTGCTTATAATCAGCATACACTAAAAATACTTGTAAATGAGATATAACTACCATATATTCTTAAAACTTACTCATACTCTTAATTACTTACCCCCATCAACAAAAGTTGAAACAAAAGTTGAAACGATTACTAGAGATGTTCAAGACCGAAATTTTCCAGAACTAAAGAAACAAGACCGAAAACCCAACAAGAAAAGTCTGAGTAAATACTCAAGAGTAACTCTCAAAACCAAGATTGTGACATTGCTAATAAATACCTTCCCCAAATGTCCTACTCTATTTCAAAGTTCAAAACTCGAATAATTGCCCTAACACATATAATTATCACATTTGTTTAATTATCCCCATCAACAAAAACCCGAATTATTACCTAATTATCCTTAGCAATTAATTAACATCCTCAAGATAGATGTATAAAAAATAATTATTCAGGGTAATTATTCAAGGATATACGGTATATCTCTTTTATTTAAGTCCAATTTTTATTTATCCTTTTTTTAATCTCCACAAGACAGAATATGAGATTTTTATTTTTAGGATTTATTATTTCAATTAAAATTATAAATTTATTTTTAAATTCTCTAACAAATTCAAAAATATTTTACTTACCTCCCCTACATTCCTCCTTGAGATGATAATTATCAACACATGGTTCTTCACAAATGTCTGACGCTTGTGTTAGAAGTAGTAAAATTAATGTTAAAAATATAGATATTGATCGACAAAGATTCATCAAGAAAATTTTTATAAAAATAAAAATAATCTAATCTGATTTTTAATAAAGTAGTGAGGGATTATGATTTTAAAAGTGTTTAAAGTTTTTGTCAAGACCACACCGCGATATCCCGACTTAATGTTACTCTTTTTCCCATCATATTAAGCCCAACTTAGTTGTTTTAAATGGTGTCTAGCGGATGTTGTCTGGCCGAAGTTTGACTTACAAACGCGGTCCGACGACTCTAATCGTCGGAAGTGTCTCGCTTTAAGTATTTTTTTAAGAGAGGTATTATTAAAGGTTAATTAATAATACTTCTAATATTATTAAAGAATTATTTAAAGGTTAAACTTTTATTATTAAAAGTTAATTATAATATTAGACGTTAAGCATTTAAAAAATATAAATCTGGCATGTCTAGATTTTTATTAATAGCCAAAGCAATTAGGCGGCATCTCTTTAATATGTAAAAGTGTAAGATTGAATACAAAAACATACAAAAAGTGCAACCATACATAGACATATTCACGTGAATATCATTAAACATGTTGACTTAGTCTTTTTAGTCACAGTAGTAATCAAAATGTCAAACCGGAAACCAGCCATAGTCTACTCTGAACAAGCATTTATATAAAAGTATTGGTAATTTTTAGCTAAGATTTTAGCTAAAAATTAAAAAAATATAAATCTGGCATAAATCTGGAAAAAAATATTTTATAATTAAAAGTTAATTATAATATTAGACGTTAAGAAAAAAACTTTTATTATTAAAAGTTAATTATAATATTAGACGTTAAGCATTTAAAAAATATAAATCTGGCACCTAGGGAATCTCATAGCTGATCGGTTTGGCAAATTTTGAAAATCCGTTTTTATACATATTACTTTTATCTAAAGAATATTTTCGTTTTTTAATATTTAAGAAATTATTTAATCTAGGTATGTATCAATTAACGAAGATGGCGTCTTCTAAGTGCTGCATGAACAAGTTTATTATATGCAGATAAACGACGACTTGAAGTTGATTGTTCTCCTAGACTTTCTGAATTGCTTTCAGATGCTGCTAAATATCTCAAATTATCTTTATAAGAATTCCGTATTATTTTTACCTTTTACTGTTCCTCCTCCATAACCACTACCTCCCTCAGATTTTGTTTCATAGCCTCCAACTTCTGACTTTTTTGGTGTCTCAGGAGCACTTTTATTTGGCACAGCAGCACCGTAATTATTAGCCAGATGAGCTTCAGGCGGTTGATACGGTGGAGATGGGGACGGAGCTGCTGGAGGAGCGGGCCCTACATCGACCCCTTTTGAACGTTCTGGACAAGGACAATATTCAGCATCGGCACCTATTTTAATTAGTTTACTAATTAATAAAGATAATATTCTAGTTTACCAGGCAATCCCTGGGTACCAGGACTTCCATTTATGCCATCTTTTCCTTTGTCACCGCGTGCACCTGGAGGACCAATCGGTCCTTGGGGACCTAAATTAGTTTGAAATTTATTTATCAATTTTTATGAAGAGTTACAAACCTGGTGCAGCATCATCACCTCTATCACCGGTTGGGCCCTCATCTCCAGCCTCACCGAGCGGGCCAGCAGCTCCCTTTGGTCCAGGATCTCCTTTTGCATATCCAACGCCTTAAATATATATTCATCAAATAAAAGAAATGGTTATAAATCTATTACCATCCTCTCCAGGTGTGCCTTTCACACCTGCATCGCCAATATCACCAGGAAGACCGATTTCCCCTTCAGGTCCCTCATCACCAGGTTGGCCATCTCGACCCGGTGCACCAGGAGATCCTTTTGCTCCCTTATCTCCTCTCGGCCCTCTTTTGCCCTTATATCCAGGCAAACCGGTTGGACCAGCAGGACATTTCCCACAGCCAGGATTTACAGTCTCTCCATAAGCATTTCCAGGATCAGAAGCTACTTGACTGCTTCCTGGAGCACCTACAGAACCCGGCTCTCCGTCCATTCCTTGAGAAATTTAAATCCAATAATTTATATAAATTAGTTGTACACTGATCCTATAGAGATACAGTTTCCTATAGAGATACAGGAGATACAGGTTATCGAGATAAAGGTTTTCTGCAGGCTTTCTTCCTATAGAGATACAGGTTTTCTGAAACCAAAAGTATAGAACCGTAACAATATGAATCGCATTCGAAACGGATACATAGAATAAGGAACGGTTCTGATTTATTATCAGATATTTAATTAATTACTTAGTTTAATATTATTTTAATATTTTCTATTAGGTACTGGATTTTTAGTTTTTTGGGTAATCTTTTATTAACTTCCGTGCCTAGTTTGTGGGTTTTCCTACCGGCTTTGAGAAATTTCTAACGTAAAGTTACGGATTATAAATTAATATGCTATCTCACCTGGTTCTCCTGGCTCGCCTCGCACACCTTTAGGTCCACTCGGACATTGATTCTTTGGGGGACTAGATTTGATATTAGCATTCTCATCTTAACAATTGTAATATTTTTAAATACACAATTTAAGACTAAATAATTATTTTACATTGCCTTCGTTGACGAGCTGTAATTTCTGCAGCTCGTTCTTTTCTAGTTAAGACTTTCTGCTCCATTATAGTACTCCACATTTGAGAGCCCTATTTATTTAAAAATTATTTAGGTAGGCAAAATTATAAAAATCTTTTTAAGACCATATCTTCGACGATTTGTCTTTTTTGCGACATTTCTTTCTCAAAATTGGCCAAATCCATGAGCCTAAATTGTTATAAAGTATTAAATGTTTAGTATTTTTAAATTTCAGTAGTATTGCGTAACACTTTGGATATTGTTTGGAATTAAATATTCTATAGACAACCTTCTTTAACGCCTCTTTTAAGAGTAAATTCGGGTAAATTAAAGAACATAAAGGTCACTTTTAGTGCTGGTCATGGCATCTGAAGCTAGCTCTGGAGCTGGTTCAAAAACGGAACCAAGATCTGAAAATGTTTGAGGAAGGAGCCGGGAGCACACAATACCCAGCAATGTTTTTACCCAATTTACACTGTGAGGTAACGATAACTATAGTTCAGACTAGGTATGTCATAATAGTGATATCTCAAAACCGTGACTTTTTCACCGAGTTTTTGCTTGAGACCTCGCTCGGTTCGATCACTAATGATAACATACAAAATTCATTTCCTTAATTTATAATTTTATTAAATTTCAGAAGGATTACATTAACGGAACACCGAGCATTAAAGTTCCAAATGACACCAATGCAAGTCCAGCTGCAATATTCACAGTTCCTTTTGGTAAACTACTCATTGTTCTATAATTTTTTTGAAATAATGTTCAGAGAGAATTTTAAATGAAAATGCTTAAAATAATGAGGTAAATTTTTATTTTCATTACCTAGTTTCTAAGTTTGTTCAAATTGAGATGAACAAACTTAGAAACTATCGGAATCAGACATGGACGAAACGTTTTGTTCCTTGTCACGTTAGTTGTCCTGCTCTATTTCGTTTCCTTCTTGAAAGTATTTTTTGGGTGTAAGGTTGGTCCGAAAGATCGAGTAGGGCATTGAATTTTGGCCCGAAAAGACTCGGTCGGGCAGGCCCAAAAAATGAAGCCCGAAAAAGTCTCGATTGGGTAGGCCAGAAAAATGACGCTAACATCTTCCCGACTCAAAAACCCCAACAATATTTGAATTATTCCAATGAAATTATAATACTGGTTTTAATTTCCTATGTTTTTTTCGTTAAAAATTTGGAGTTTTTCCCAGGTCTGATAAGAACTAATGGACTAAAGAATACATTAAAAATTTAATATTAAATTAGAAATAACAAACATTGGAAATAACTAACAATAACAAATGAAAAGAAAACTCTCAACAAAAATAATTTGGATAAATAAAAAGCCTGTTCCCACCTTTCCGTCATTTTTGAGTTATATGCTTTGGCGGTGTTTTCTAATTAAGTTTTATGATTGGGAGTGGCTGTCGCGCAGTTCTGCCCTAAAGGCTATTGTAGAGAGTGCAATTATGAATTGGGCGCTTCCTGATTCTCTCTCTTTTTATTTAAAAAATCCAACATTTTTTACTGAGCATTATTAGCAGAAAATTTTTAATAAAAATAATTTAATTAGAAAATTAATGGAAATAGAATTTTAAAAAGTTTTTTAATAAAAATTATTTAGAAACATTCCCGATTCGGAATATATCTTCGATGATACAGGAATATTAGGACAGGGAGCAACAGCTAATGTTTAATAATTCAATATTTTATATATAAATTAATCGCTGGGATCGGTGTTTGTCGGTAGAACCTTCGGGGGTTTGGCGGGTTTTTAACAAAATAATCGTCAGGGTACGGGGAGTTCCCTAGTTTAGACATCATCTATTCTGACAAAACATTATGGTCAAAATTTTAAACTAAGGGTATATCTTTAAATTCTTTTAGATTATTTATAATTTAATCAAAAATATTTTTAATTTTATAAGTTTATTCTAGTTAACAGAGTTTATAATTTGAATTAGATAAGATTTGATTAATTATTAGAAACGGAAAATTTTTTAATTATTTTGCCCATCCAATTTGAATATATTTGACTTCCCATTATATTTTATATTTTTATCGTCTTATCCTGAAATATAAAACCCCAAATTCTTCTTCATCTTTTTATTTTCCTGACTTTATTGTACATTTTTTGTTTTTGATGTAGCTTGAACAACATTGGTTTGGATCTGTTGATGGTTCTAAAAATATTAAGATTTCGATTAAAAGTCATTTAATTTTTAAATTTTTATATTGTGCGTAATCAAATAATTACATTCGGTAATTATTGCTTCAACTTTTATTCTAAATTATAATTAAATGAGAGAGGAATGCGTACATTTTACAAGCAGTCTTATATCCGATTACGGTTGGATTTTTCGAACCGGGCCGACGTTCGATTCATATTTTCGGGCCTCATTTTTATTGAACCGAGCCGATCGGGTCTATTTCGGGCCAAAATTCGAGGCCCGGTTGAATATTTCGAACGGAACCAGACCCCAAACTCTATATCCAATATCAAAAAAAGATTGCTAATAATAAATGATTTCCGGATATCTGATTGTTTATTCTTGAATTTTTGATTCAATCTTATGACCTATTTACTTTCCAAAACTTTACAAAACTAAAATATCTTTTCATTTTTAATTCAACATTTTCCTTTTTCAAATTTTCTTTCAAATTTTGGTCAAAATATCGTACACTTTTTAATTAAATATTTCAAATAATTATATATACCGTGAATGCTCTAATCAACGGCCCTGGGCTTCTATTATGGTGTCGTTTTAATAGGGATGGGCGTTTATTTTTCGATGTGCCTCATTGGGGGCTTATATTAGATATGGGCTTCTTATAGAGCCGTGCTTCGAGCATTTACGGTAAATGTATGTATTAATCTTACGGCCATTTGCAATACAACATGTACCAGCGCTGCAAGAACTCACTCCAAATTGACAGCATTGTAAGGTTGGACCACAACAATTTTGTGCCACTGTATCACAATCTGATTTTTAAAATAATTTTATTAAATAAAGTATCAAACATACTCCCTCCAGCTTTAACACAACTAGTAGATACGAAATTAATTAGAGAAAATAAAATTGTGATAGTAATAATTAAACTAATATTATTCATTATTAATTTTTTTATTTGAATTTTCTAAAATATTTTCTAAAAAAATTTCAGATTTTAATTAGATTGTTAAATTTAACATATGTACACTCCTCCACAAAATTATAGCCCACCTATATTTTCCTCGGTTTCAATAATGTAATGACTTTTTTATTTTCAGACTTTTTTGTATAATAAATAGTAGTCTAAAATTAGGTTTGGAAAAAAATTTTGTTTTCAAATAATTTTTTCGAGAGTTATAAGAAATTCCCAGTTTAGGGTTCCACAAAATTATAGCCCCACTTTGAAATTTCGAGTTTCCAACATTAGGAAAAATCTACAAAAATTTGAGCAAGCATATCTATTAATACTAAGAAAAAATAAAAAGAATTAGACCCATATCTCACTTAAGTGTGTGTCGAGATCCGATACCTCGAAAATCAACGTAAATCGGGGGTAAGGCTGTTTAAACAATATTTTCGACCCCTTACGGTTGTTTTAAAAAACGAATTTGGACTCATTCGAAAGCCCTTAAAATGTGCTACAAAATTGCATAAGCTTTATTTTCTAGAAAAATTATTTCAGTAAGCCCTCTAATAATATTTCAGTAAGCCCCCTAATGCCCCATAAAATTAGCTCCGGAAGATTAACGTCCTGCATATCTCTATTGAATTATTTCTGGGATATATGAGTATTAATATTTTATAGCAAATTTTAAGGGCTTTCGAATGAGCCTAAATTGAAATTTTAAAACAAACCATAAGGGGTCGAAAATATTTTTTAAACAGCCTTACCCCCGATTTACGTTGATTTTCCAGGTATCTGGATCTCGACACTTAAGTGAATATGGTTCTAATTCTTTTTTTATTTTTTCTTAGTATTAATAGATATGCTTGCTCAAATTTTTGTAGATTTTTCCTAATGTTGGAAACTCGAAATTTCAAAGTTTTTAGTAGTTTGCGTGTTTTAACAAAAGTTAGAATCTTCAAATGGAAAAAAGAATATAGGGTAGTTAACATATGTAGTGTACTCCTTAATTTTTCTAGGTAGTTTTACAAATTATTAAAGAAATTATATAATTGTTGATGAAAAATTATAATACTTTTTATTAATTTTTATGGAGAAAGATTTTTTGTAAATGATTTATTTAAGATAAATAATTATTTTTTATTATACATATGTACGATTTTAATTAAATTCTTTTATAAAACAATTAAAGAATTAAAGATTAACCTTAAAAATAAAATTATTTAATTTAAATTATTTATTCACATGTTAATAAGTTTTAAAATTATATTTTGTTACCCAAAATAGAATTTTTTGGCATAAGCCAGCAAAATTTTTTATTTTGGAAGAGAATACAAAATTTTTTTTATTCTTTGCATAGCCATAAAAATGAAAATAAAAAAGGATTGAGATAAAAAACTCCCTTTTTAGAGAAAAAATCCATTATGAAAATAATCACCAATCCGCGAACTTTGAATAAATCTACAGTTTTTCACGTGAACATTCAATGATTTTTATAATTTAATAAAATATAACTTTGATTTTAGTTTATACTACAATACATACAGTCTGGTGCAAAAGTATATGATCAAGGGTGTGTGAATTTTAATTTTGCTTCGCCTCGCTGTTAAATCGCAAAATTTTAAAACTTTTTTATTTTATATTTTAGCATTTTTTGTGGGCTTTAAGATGATGATAAATTTATAGAAAAATATTTCCATTTCAAAGAGTTATGATTTTTTAAATGAATTTACCCCTATTTTTGTTGGTGCAAAAGAAAAACTCAATAAATTATTAAATGAGTATTTTAGATTTATTTAAGATTATGTTTTGTATTATGGTTTTTTACTAGATAAACATTTGATTGGAAAAGCATATCGAAACTATTTAATTCCTAATATTATGCTGGTGGCGGTATATGTAGTGTAAAGGATGGATGATATATTGGAGAAAATGGGTTCCCTATATGAGTTCTTACAGTTAAGCTTCATAATGCTTTGTACCCTGCTCCGAAATGCTGAACCATTCCCAAATATTACGAGATATTATAAGGGAGAGAATGCGATCGGGGCAATCCTGAACCTCCTCGAGGTTATTCATTTCCTCAGTTCCTCCCGACACCGAAACATGCCATAGTGATTTTATGTTTTATTTTCAAACTAGAATATACAAAAGATAAAATAAGTCAGCTAATAATTAATTAATAAAATAACAATTGAAGACTACCACAATGAACATTTTTGAGTGATAAGAAACATTTAAATAGTTGTAAAAGTAGGAGGGATAAAATCTAATCAAATAGGCCTTCTACCTAATAGGCTTCTACCTCAGGCCATCTACCTCAACCTCATTGTATTTCTACGTGGATAAACTCTTGTGTTTTCAGTCGTCTACATTAACAAGTCTCGGACGTATAAAAGTGCATTTCTCATGCACTTTAATTCTCATAAACTTATACAATATTATTTTTCTCTTAATATGTAATTTAATAATGAAATTATTCATTAATTACTCATTAAATACATACACTTTGTGGGAAAATAAAAAATAACAATTAGGTATCCGTTTTCCACAGGGAATATATAAAATATACTGAGCTCATTATAAAATCTTATATCTTATAATTTATTGTAACTCATAGCTAGATATAACTATATCATTTTACGAT